CATGGCAGGGGGATTTGGAACTTGATGATCTTTAAGGTCCCTTCAAACCCAAACCATTCTGTAGTTCTATCTGTTCAGCAGGTAAGAAGGAAAACCACCGAACCCCTTTCCTAAAAGGACCAGTTTTACTAAGTAGAAGAGGTAAAAAGTGGAGGAGCTAACAAAATCACTATAGTGACTTTCATTCATGTCAAAGGGGTACTCCAAATGTATCCCTCCCAAAGCTCCAGGCAGGGAAATGCTGTAGCAACAATAAAAGTGCTCTCAGCAAAGGTCTGTCTTCAGAATCAATTCAGTAGAGGCAAGTTCTCACACAGAACTGGGATTTCTCTATCAATCTGTCCTAAACAGATCACAGCTCTATCCAACCCACAGAGGCAGGATCAGAAACTGCCAGTTTTTCCAGTCTTGATTCATAAAAAATAGACCTGTTTCTTCAACTGCTCTCTTCTGATACAGCATCAGAAAGCTCCATATTAAAAGTCTCTCAAGAGTAGCATTTTTTACCCATCAAGTAACACAGCTTAGTTTGTACTCACAGATCTTATCTTCCCTCTTATTTTATACAGAGATCCTCTTCCCCTCCAGAACTACAATTATTCTAAAAAATGCAGGGCATATGGAACACTTTCCTCCAAGCAACGGAACAGAGCACCATAAAAGCAATGAACATAAGCAGTTTATTAGAAGTGGTTTCCCTTCCCCAACAACTACTCAAAGCTGCTGTGAAATTCTATTGAAGTCATACTATGCCAGGGTGCAAAAGAGCCATGAAAGGATTTGCCTGCATTACAGAGGGTTTACTGTTAATTAGCTCTTGTAGACACACACAGCACATAGAACCAGATTTTTTTCTTTTGTTGAAGAAATGATGATTTGCTGAGAAAATGTTCTTTTTTGATACAAAGTTAGCATTAGGATTGTAATTGGAGTTAACATTTACACATCATTCTGCTTAATCACTTGAATATGGTGAGCCTGGCTAATTAGTTTCTGTTAGTTAAAAGGGAAATGTGAATGAAATTTTCTTGGGGCATAAACAGGGACATCATCTTACTCAGACCAGTAACATCAAGGTCCTGGTTCTTTCCTATCATATCAACTAGGTGCTTCTGATCACATCTTTAGATTTACAATCTCTCATGCACCAGAAAACAGAAACTTCACTCCTCCTTTGATGACCTCTTCTCTCTGAGTATTAAGCTGAATGAGTCAGGGGAAGAATGAACTCACTTAAAATTCATACTTTAAGTAAAAACTGAGTCCACAGCCTCACTTCAATAACTGATTTAGCCAAACTTTCCTGATGGACTTGGGAGAAAGGGAGTGTAGGAGAATCACCTTTCCTGACTGCCTGGAGTATTTTCTTAATGAATGGCAAAGCATTATTTTTGCAGATTTTGAATCTTCCTTTTAGGCAATGGTTATCCTAATCTTGGAAGCAGGCATAATCCTCTTTTTGCTCGTTCTTTGAGAATATGCTGGAACATGCTATTATAACTTATTCCAACCATAGAAACCACTGACTGCAGTTGTCAGAAAGTATCAAAAAGAGGAGTGTCATTGTAATAAAGGGGCAGGAAAAGAGGATGGATAACTCCTTTGGCATCCTGAAAAATTCCAGCCTTCACTTGCTTCAGCGATTTCTAGGAAATGCTGATATGAAAGGCAGAACCAAAAATGAAGCCTTGCAGCAACAATCTAGAGCCTACTCACCCCTCTCCCAAAAGGCAGAGAACAGGAAGCACTATGAGAAGCTAGGAAAGGCAGGACACAGGGCTCTTGCTTTCTCTCTGTTCCCTGGGCTGAGATGTTCAGCACAGCAGGGAAGGCAGAAAGGGACAGAAAGGAGGGCACAGAAGCAAGTGAAGTTAAGTTACATGCCAGCTAAGGACTCCACCTTGCATGGGGAATTCTCTACTGGCAAGGTCTGTCCCTTTCCTTCAGGCCTCTGCTTCACCCGAGCACCCCAAAAAGGTCAGGCAGAAAACCTGCTCAGCAAACTGCCTTGGTGAATCACACAAATTCCAGTCAGCCAACATCATGATAGGGATGCTATGAATTAAACACGGTATAGACACAGACAGAATGGCTCATAAATGTGAGGGAAGGCTTTCCCTGCCATATGATTTACCCACAGTAATTCAAAAGCTATAATAACAATAACCAGAATTTGCAACTAGCCACAAGCAGAAGGGACACTAATTTCTCCTGGGACTTCTAACTTAGCTACAGTTTGAATTTTTTCTGGCAGCTCAGAATACAATGAAAGCCTTCTTGAGGATAAACTAAACACACTGAAAATAAATATGGGTCCTCACAGCGGAAAAAAAAGGCACATGAGATCCAGCAAGTAACCTTACAGTCATTTGAAAAATCTATCAGGTAGGCAGAGGAAAAGGGCTCAAATAGCCCATATATGTGGCGTTGAGCTGAAACCAGGAAAAGACAGAGTTTATTGCATCCTTCTGGACAGAACTCTGTTGAACCTAAAGGTTTAAAAAACAAAAAAAACCTATGCAGAAAGACATACATTGCTAAAAGCAACATTTTTTTCCCATAAAATTGAAGGGACGAAAGATAAGCAGAAAAACTGAAGTTTCACCAGTCATTTGGAAACAAGCCATGTGATGCACATCTGATTCATCTTTATTAAACACGACAGTAAGAATTCCTTTGCTATTCTACCAGACTCCTACAAAAGCCTTCAAGTCAATGGATCATGGCATAAACAATTTGCAAACTGCAAAACTGGAAAGAAAAGCAGCACTGCTATAAAAATGGAAATAGGAAAAGATGAGGAATATCTTGTTGTTTGGGTTAAAGCCCTGCTCTCACTTTCAGTTGCCTGAATAGCAGAGAACTCTGCCCCCTTCAACTCACTACTAATTCACATCAATGCAAGAAATTTAAGCCAAGGGATAAGGGTCAAAATAATTGTTAATTAATTTGAAGTCAATAAGTCTCAGGAGAAAAAACAATTGTTAAAGGGTCATGAAGAAGGTTCTATCTAAAGTTAAATGCTTTTATTTTTTATTTACACCAATACCATAATAAAAAGTAACACTTTGCCAATGCAGTTTTGCCAATGTTTAACCCAAACAAAATGAATCATTTTCACACACAAAAAAAGAGCATAATTTCATGAATCTAATATGGAGGTATGAAATTTCCTTCTTTGCCTTGAAAGTGAAAGAATACATACTGACATTTAAACACAGTACAATAATTTTCCTAAAATAAATTCAGCAAGGTTGGAACAAACAAAAAAAAGGCCATCAGATCTAAAGGAAACATTTGAGGGTCTTCCCCCTCAAACTGAATGGAGCAGGAAATTATTCAGCTGAGCAGAATAAAACAATTGCTTTAATTTCCACCCCCCTCTTTATACTTAGCTTTACTACCTTAACAGTGGATTCAAGGAGACAAAACCTGCAATTTACACAACACAAACCCCAAATTAAACACTGCCTGCTAAGATATAGCTTAAGTTTGGCACACCACTAGACAACACTTTCTTGGCTGCTGTATCATCATGTTGGAGGTTCCACTCCATTAATTCCACTTTGAAATACAGGACCCAATCTAACATCCACAGTGATTAACAGGAGCCTTCCCATTGAGTTCTCTGGGTGTTTGGCAGTACCTCCAGAGGTGTATTTACTGCTAACTGAACATCCTCAATGCAGAGGCAAGTTTTGGAGTTACACCGCTTGAATTAAACTTGACTGGCTGTTGGGCTAGTGGAGGAAGGTAGCAAGTAGCCTGCAGTGCTACAGGAGAGTTACACTACAGCCCACAAGTTGTTCTTCCTAGTATAGAGCCCTCAATTTTCCCTCAAAAAGTGATTAAAAATCCAATTGATGAAATACATGGTATTTTTAAATTGGTTACTAAAGAACTTCATCCTTTGTAGTTTGGTAAGGTCCTTAAGCAAATAACAAAACATTTTCTGTATTTGTGCTTTGAGTAGAGCTGATGAAATGGAGACTTTTAAAACTCATTTCTTGTTTTGGGCAAGTCTGTTCAAATGAGTGCACCTGAAAAGGAATCCCCACAGAAGTATCTCAAACTGGATATTCCAGATCAGAAAGATTAAAACAAAACATAGAAATACTGAAAAACGCGGTCATCTTTTGTTGCTTCTTAATTGGTCCATGAATTAAATTGGAACTGATCCTGATTTAACAAACAAGTATATAATTTGATAGCATTTATAAAGCGCTGTTTTTCAAGTGGAAATATGTTCTCCCCCAACAGCTGGAAACAGGAATATTCACAACAGGTACACAACTAGGAAGGAAAGGCAATCTTAAAATCTTTTTAAAAAGACAAGAAAAAAAACCAAAGTAAAATCCATAATGAGGTGAATTTGTTTGAAATTATATATTTTTCATCTAGTCTTAGCTCAGGACAGTAATCCCCAAACCTGGAAATCATACTAACCAGTTTGAATTTAAAATTAAACAAACTCAATGACACTGAAGGGCTTTCATGAAAAAGAATGCAGAATACAACCTACATTAATTTGTTTTAATTGTCATTACTGAAAAATAAAATGGCTGCAAGGTTACAATTTTTTTTTGACAGAAAATGAAAAAAATCAAATAATAGTGTTATGTGAATTAAGGCAGAAAATCGGTTTTGCTAAAACATTTACTTTTTTCAAGATAAGGTGTATGGAAGAAAATGCTTCATTTGATTTTAAACTCTGCCTTAAACAAAAAACACCAACAGAAAACAAGTAAATTCTAAGAGTTTTCATCATGTTTACTTCTAACAAAATTTTATCTAGAAACAAACAAACAAAAAACCCTAAATGAGCAAAATACTTTATTTGCTTTCAAATGGAAAAGTAAATTTGGATGTCGAGAGACGTATCTCACTTAAGGGCTAATTATATTTGCCCTGCTTTTCTGGACAAACTGGATAGTATGACATTCCTGTGGCAAGAAGGGCAGGACCCTGTGTACAGAGAATGGAAAGGTGGTGGATGTTACCTAGCGTGTTGTGGTAAAGTGGACTGTCGCGTCCATGGATAGTAAATGCAGTCATGACTAGCGGGACCTCTACACCTGCAGGCAATTACAGAACAGAAGACGTCATTTGCCATTCACAAGGACATGCACACCATGCGCCCTTGTCCACACATGGAGGATGGAGACACACAGGGAACGACTACTCAGCAAGTACCTATCCATCAGGCCGATGCAGTCCTCGATACGTGGCCCTATGCACCTGCAGCAAATCCACAGTGAAAACAGGGAGAGAAAGAGAGAAATCTGTTATTTATATGTCCAAGGAGCAGGAATCCCCTTTGTGTTCTTAATTATAACTCTCATGAGAGACCCGAGTCCCCACCAAATTATAGCCTGTGACAAAACCAAGCTTGCAATAGGAACAATAATAGCAACAGCACTCCAAGGCTGGCCGTATCTTGGCTTAAACAACACTTAAGGCAGGTTTCACTTGCATCCGTGGGAGTCCTGACAACAGAGTTGCTTCTTCTGGATGTTTTTCTGAATCATCAAACCAGTGATTACTGCACAAAAGCTCTTCATTTGCAAGACGAGACTTCCAGGAGCACAGAGCTTGTTTTTCTTTCTGTAATTGATGCAATTGTTCATTTTGCTCTAAGCTGCTAGCCAGAGCAACTGCAGAAATATTTTGGAAGCTGACTATACCTTGACAGGGAAGCTCAAGGATCAACTTCCAACAACAAAAACCAGAGCAAAACAGTGTCTGCTAATTGAGGTATTTTATTCTGCTTTCCTTAGAGGCTGCTAGAAGTCCTCCACCTGCACAAAGAGGTGCTCACCAAAGGCAGTGGAAATGCAGGGAACCACTATATGCAGCACCACCAAAACACAACTATGTTTTGTTTGAAAAATATGGGTATGTGTGGGTTTCCCTTGTCCTCGTGAAAAGCAGGACTGAAGTGCTGTCCTAGGTCCCCTGCATTCAAAAAGCAAGTCAGTAACGTATTTACACAGCAGTTAGGATTCTCAGAGACCTCAGGTTTTAGAGTTAAAGACAACCTGATACCCTTCAGTGCTGCATGCCCAGCTAGGCCCTTGGCAGCCATGGGGAGTATCTAGCCCTCGGCATTTTAAGGAAACCAAACCACTTACTTCAACTCTTTAATAAGATCTCAGAGCTATTTCACTAACAGGCTCTTTGGCTGTACAGGAGCAAGTGATCTGACACATCAGTAGACTGAAGTTCACTTCTGTGGAGGCACTTTAAATTTAAGGTATGATCCCCAACTCTTTTAAAGTCTGTTGCTTTCAGACTGGCTTTGATGGAGGGATATCCATGTCAAAAATCTGAGGGAGTTCAAATATACTCCCAGGAGATCTTTCCACTTCACCATCACTTGCCACTCATCAGCTTTTGCTGCATTTAAATTGGCTATCACTGACATTATAAAATAAAGTCAGTGAATTCAATTTCCCCTTACCTGCAGAGGGAGGGCAGACAGAGTGAACCCTGGTCCTTGTTTGTTTACTTGAATTTTTATTTTTACATAAGAACTCTGACATGCAAACACAAACTGTAAGGATTTCCTCAACAATTGTTTCCTCCAGCAACTGTGCAGACATAAAAAGCATTCATTAAATACCCAGATGACCAGATAATGTATAAACATAAGGCGATGATTTAAACACAGTTAAAAAACTTAATAGAGAGAACTCTTGATGTGACTTCTTTGAAATTTCAGCTGTCCTGGGCTTCAGGACTTCAGAATTCAGGACTGTCTGAATTCTAACCTGTCTCAGACACATCTGATCTCTCTTCCTTTCATGGCATTCTCAGCAATTTGCAGAAAACCAGTTCAGTAATGAAAGAGGCTGAAAAAAAGTTGTTCAGATCTTCCATTTACTAGCAGGTCAAGAAAAGCTGAGCTCAGACTCCTGCTATAAATAAAAAGAAAGGCATCTTCAAATTAAGGTCTAAGTGCCTGTTACTAGATCATATAACTGGCAGACTGACATCAAGAGACTGTTGTCTTGAAGTCACTTCACAACTGCACATTTATTTGCTCTTGCTCTGGAGGACAGGACTTGAATCCCAGAAGAGAGAGCTGTTTGGACCTCACCCGGTCCAAGCTAAAGTACCATTGATTTTTACTTAAACTTCTAATCTTCTCCAGTGAATTTCCCATTTCCAAACAGAAAACTCTGTCCAGGTGCAATTTGCATCATTCCTAGTCATGCTGAGCAGCTTCCTGTTTCCTCCCTGACTGACTGTCCTGATTACATGCAGTGAAGTACAACACTCTGTGAGTCATGGCAGTATCTATTAATGGGGTATTTTGCACCACCAAGCCATCCGTTATTTTTCCTCTGGAAGGAAATTCCTTGTTTTCAGGATTTTTGACACATACAAGTACAGGCATAAATCACACTGGTACCCCATTCTCTCCCAGGGTTTCTTCTGCTTGGAGTCTGGATGATATTTTCATTTCCAAGTCCGCCTGTAAAATGAACTGGTTAACTGATACATGCCAATTTATTAATGACTTATTCACTACCTTACAACAGTTCAATACAGCTTATACAGAAAATTATTCTTGGAGCTCATCCTAATTTCACAGATAATCAACCTCTGATAGAAAATAGTGAGTTAAAATGTCAAGTTCTGAAAACTGGAGTAATAACTGTTTTTTTTCCAGAAACAATCCTTTTTTCTTTTGCCAAATATTGTCTTTCATCAACTTTCCTTAATATTGAAAGGAGAGGTCTTAGCTGTGCACAGACGTGGAGTAGCAAAGCCATTTCTAGTCAGATGAATTCTCAAAAATCTTTGTCATGGGAAATAAACAAAACTGATTTTAAATGGCATAAATGGATTTTCTCTGAGCAGGAGAAAACCTTAGTTGTGGTGGTCATCCAGCTGGAGGACATTGAGTGGCCAGTGGCCTGGGAGGGTGACCACAGTGGCCTAAGCCCTTAAACACAGGAGCACATGAGCTCCATCTTGCCTTTTTTCTTGGGACCTGCCATTGCCATGAGAAGCCCCAGACTTCCATAAGGTTCTTTGGTGGTAGCTATTTAATTATTTTATTCTACTCTTTTACTTTACTCTTTCTCTCTTCTTCTCTCTCTCTCTCTCTCTCTCTTTACTCCTGTTTCTTCTCTTAACCTTTTCCTTTCTTTACTCTTTTTGTATTCTTAATATTTTAGGTAACTTCAAATTCATGGGTTATATTTTACTAGGAGTTGGTGTGTGGCGGATACTTCAGTGAAATACTCTGTCTTGGTTGTATGTCACCCCTTTTAACCTTTTGCTAAAATGCCTATTTTCTCACTAAATTAAAAGAAAGCTCTTGGGAAACATGGGTGGTGTTTTCTCTTTAAAGGACCTCAAGGTATTAAAGAACTAAAAGGCTTTGCAAAAATTCAAATTATTTTAGAGCCTTAAATAAAAGTAACACTCCCAGTACATCTTGAGGCTTTGGGATTGGGGTCTTACAATTGTTTCATCTGGAATTCATAATGTCTTCCTAAAAAATACACCTAAGCTTTAGGGGCAAAATAGTCTTTGTGGCTTCAAATCCCTCCAGGATCACACCCATGCTGCTAAGGCTCCCATGGCTTCTCTGGTCTTGGCTTAGAAGGAAAAGAATTTTTTGGTGAAAAGCAATGCACTTCCTTCAAAAAGCTGTGTGACAAAATGCATTTGTATGATCAGGGGAGGTGTCCAGTGAGATCTCCCATTTGGTGTCCTGCCCAGCAAGGAAGCAGACTGTCACATGCTATTACATAATTAGTATTTTATTCCTGTGGAAGTGTTCCATTTTGGCTAGCCCTGCAAGAAGAGATGCCAAATGCTTTCCAACTCTCTTGAATCAAATAGGATAGCTATCCCACATGCCTCAGATCTGCTCCAAACTGGCTTCAGTTATCATGGGGATGGCAAGGCCAAGAGCACAGTTGTTGCATCCAAGGAAGTCACTGTTTGACAGTTCTCTTGGTCGATGCAAGATCATTAACAGGGCTGGATAATGACACACCCATTAACAGAAGCAGTCATTACACTTGAATAAGGGAGGAGAATGGTGCTATCAAAGCTAACCCTCCAGTCTGTAAAGCAATCCTCTGCAAGTGCCATGATGGAATTATGGATCACAGGGAACAGAGGTGGGACAGAAGATATCTTCCTTGGTGACAACTGGTGGGGAGGAGGAGAAACAATGGATGAGAACAACCCATTTTGTCAGGCAGACTGACTCACAGACAGCAGCACTGAACAAATGAGATTAATATCACACTGGGAGCACTGCTCTGCAGCAGCTCAACACTTTTTGATGGGTATCCAAGCTGTACTGAGAGGGCACTGGCTTCATTCCAGCACTTGATCTGACAGCAAGCAGAATAGGCATAACAGATGAAGTAGAATTATGGTTTTTCTCTACCTTTCAGTTGTGAGCCAAATATCCAGATGTGTTTCCATCACAACCTATTTCACTGAAGAATCATGACTGAGGGGAATTTAAATATTAATTTCTGAAGGAAGGATATGAAACTAGAGAATTCAGCATTGAAGGAGAAAACAAGAGAAATTAACTGATTTCCCTTTCCTCTGTGGGCATATTTAGTCCCTGACAATGTTGACAAGAAGATGGACAACCCATAAATCCCAAATATCTTGGACAGTCATTAACAGCTTCATTAACATTATCACATGCCCCAAAGTCTTTAGGAACACTAGAAAAGAATAGCCATGCTTACCCAGACTTGAGAGAGGAAGGTGTTGTTTTTATGAGGGGTAATAAAATACCTAGGAATAGACACATTTAACTCTTTAATAAAGAGGATGAGGATTTCTATGAGGAGTAGTAGACTCATGGAAGAGGGATAGCTCCTCTTTTGAGAGATAACCACACCTTTGGCCCCTTTACTTGTTCTTTCTCTGGGGATTGGCACACAATGCTAAATGAAACCTAATCAGCAGGGGAAAATAAAAGAAAGGGAAAGCTGAAAGTTCAATGATTAAATGACAACATAACTCAGCATAAAGGACTTGTCACCAAGGCTTGCCAATGGATACTGGCAAGGTCAGCTACAACTGCCTAATGCCCTTGCTATTTGTTTATCAACTAGAATATCAGATTTTCAGCACAAGACTTAAAAGCCTCCCTTCTTGACCCTGTTCTATCCAGGGAGATAAAAACAACCACTTACAAAATATGGGTGTATATGGAGAAGTGGAAAGGTATGGAAAACATTCTCCTCTCTTCCCGGTCTAGGAGAACCACACTTGTGCCACAAACACTAGAAACAGTTGGGTCAGTTAGAACTCCTCAGACATGAGGAGGGAATGGGAAGGTGTTGCTTCCCGGAGACCAGCAGAGCTGCAAGGCCCTGCCTATGCTGGGCAGACAGTAAATGCATCATACTTAGCTGGGCTTGAAGGATTAGATCAGAATTGGCATTTCTTCCATCTGTGAAAGCCAGGACCAGAGCTCCTGAGGTGTGCTCATCTTTTCATATCATTCTTAAACTCTTCTTCCACAGTAGCAGCATTTTTCTTATTGCATAACTGATTTAAATGGTCTGAAGGGAGCAGAAGACAAATCTGTAACAGATCCTGGCTGTGTCTCTGAGATCCCCCTTTCATTTCCCTAATGGCTCTATTGTAATTAGATTTGCAAAACCAGCAAAAGGTCTCATTTTGAATGGCAACAGCTGTTGACATCAAGATTACATTGAATAATTTACTGGTTTAATTTTAGCTGCTAAACAATAAGAGCCTCTTGTCGAAGATTATTTCGCTGGCTGATGTTTTTTCTATTTTCCCCCGGCTGCCTCTTCCTTTCTTTGTATGCTGGACACCACCAACTGTCCCATGGAAAAGGCATTCACAACTTATGTGGTCGGTGCAAAACCATAGGTGTGTATGTGACTACTTCTTTTGCTGCAGAGATTCTTAATTCTGACTTAGATAGATGGGCTGTATAATTCCAAATGTAACATATTATTCTAGGCAGATAGACAAGATTTGAGAAATTCACACTCGGACTCAGACTCCTGTACAAAATCTGGTTTCAGACAAACCCTTTGCATCATTTCCTGTAGCAAAAAGAGAGAAGCAACACTTTTGTCTCACAGCAGTGCTGTTGGTTTATTCACCAATACCAAGGAGCAGAGATTCTGTCAACAAGGAAATAATAAAAATAAAGTCATTTTGCAGGCCTACATTAAGTGAAATAGCAGCATTTGCTGCAAACCAGGGGTAGCTAGAAGGAAAGCTAAGGGCATTGCTGTGAACAGTTGTTCTGGTTTTCAAAAGGGGTGTAAGCTTTTCTGTGATAAGCTGCTGGGCATTCATGACTAGAACCTGAATGTCACGAGAGACCTGAAAATGAAGATTAAATTGCTGCTGCACACTGTTTTCAGGAGTGGGACAAGTGCTTTACTAAGCCCAACTGTATGTAAACCATCGTGTGCTATGAACAGTAAATAGGATGGCTCACTGCACAGAATTTGCACTTACCCTTGGGTGCAGTTTGGATGACATGGATGGCACTCACGATCTTCATCAGCGTACTTGAAAATGAAGCTGTTTGCCCCCTGTAAGCCATCAGGACATTTTTCCACACAATTTGGACCATCCTTAAAATGAAAACACTTTGTGCAGTGGTCAGGTCCCTGGAGAGAGTGGAAGAAAGAAAAGCAGTGCATTCAAGTTACTGTCTCTTTTCCTGCTGCACTAAAATTGCAGGTCCTAGACTGACAATGCACTCAGCAACAATTGTAACAGCATGTTTTCCCAAAGAACAGTGAATTACCTGTATGGTTCCAGTCTCTGATAAGAAACAACAGATGCATAAATTCCAGTGCTTTCCACCATTAACTTATTCTGCAGAGAGCAAGATTAAATTCCAGCTCCTAAATAGGTTTCTTAATAATATTGGTCTGCTTAACACAATGAACTTCATGCCCACTTTAACTCTGAGAAACTTCCTGCAACACTATTCAATAGAGAACCACTTTTGCAAAGTAACTGCAATAGCCTTTCCCCTACCTCCGCACTCCAGAACTATTTTCCACACTGCATCTTGCATGTGGCATCTAGTCACAGAAACACTGAAGAACTAAAAGGTCTCCTTCTACATATGTAGACTAAATTGTTACAAACTGTGAACCAAGGCTCTTGGATAATGTAAAAGTAAAATATTAAAGCTGTGATGACAAGCACTGTATAACCAAATCCAGTGTTTATGCTGAGCACTGGTCTAGGATATTATGCCCATAAGCCTGCTACAAATCCAAATTTCCCTCATGGGTTGAACACTTCAAACATTAGCTTCTTGCTTTATGGCTGTATTGTACAAAACACAGTATTGTAATAGAAATGACGATGCCTTTTTTTTTCCATTTACTAAGTCACAAAAATAAGCAAATCAATTATGGGTTAAATTTTCTCAATGACCAAGAGCCTAAAACACAACTCTTTCCCAGGATCCTTGTGACTTGTAATCTTGGCAATTAACAGCAAACTAAAAGAAAGAGACAACTTCGACCTCACAAATGAGAAATAATCTTTGAAAGAAGATTTACTTACCATTATAAAGGTGGGAAACACAGTCAACATGCATTCAGGATGCACGATACACATTATCTATCAAAAGAACTTAAAGCTTAACCAAAGCATATTGTTCAAATTGAGACAAATTCCCACACTTAGAAAGAAAAAAAAATGCTCAACTGCAGCTGTAGTAGAACAGGACAGAACTGAGTATGAAGAACGAAAACAGGGATAAAAGAGGGCACTCAGATCACAACTGCATGCTTTCTGTCTGTAAAAATTTTGGGCATCTGTACCACTAAAGCATTAGGACAACACATGAAAGGAAAGAAAAGGATCTCGTTGGATCTAGAGGAGACTGAGGCAAGCAAATTTACTCCCAGCACCAATTTAAGATGAGAAGAGCTCTTTCTCTACATGCAGAATATGCCTGTTTTCTGCTTTCATTAACGCTAATTTGCAACAGCTGCTTTAAAGCCTGTAAGCGGAAAAGACTTGTACTTTAGCACACTTTTACAAGTTACTATGTAGCATAACAAATTTTGTTCTTACCGGTCCATAGCACGTGATCATGTTTTCTTCCATTTTTTCACACTGGGGATCACACTCCACACAGACAGAACCATTTGCAAACTCTCGAAATTCCCTAGGAAAATATTTTGCAGGCAGATCAGGTCAGGAGAAAACCACCTTCAGACTGAAAGTGAGACAAAATGGCTGCTCTTCACCCGAGGGAATCGATTTCAGGTGTGCTGAGGGGCCGGCAGGCTGTGCCAGCTGAGACCAATCCCACCAACATCACACTCCTTCACACCACCTGGAAACATGGCCCATCAGCACCTCATTCACAGCCAGGTGAAGTGGATGACATCTTGTTCACCAGTATAAAATCCTAGTGTTTTTTTCCCTCTCTTTCCTTAAGAAATACAGACTTCATTAATAGGAAAAAATAGCTCATTTCTCAATTTTCTTCCATAGAATTGCCACTCATTACATGTGAGAATGGATGAAATACTCTTGTTTTAAAGCCCATTCTTCAAAAGGCACTTAATGTTTTCAACAACAATTCTAGTCTGAGGTCTGAATCTGTAAAATGTTGCTGCCCAACGACGTGAATATGCAGAGTTCTCACGCAAACAATAAACTTCTCCCTAAGCCCAGGTTATAAATGTTTCCACATATTTAGGATAGAACTGAGCCTGTGAAGAGTGTAAATACCATCCACTGATCGATACAGAGCAGAATATCCTGATTTGAGTAGCAGAATATCCTGACTTGAGTGCTGGTCATGAGAGTCTCCTCATGGTCTTACAGTGACAGGCTTCACGGCAGCAAGCCACAAAGGGTGGAACAGTATATTCCAGTGCATATGAGAATATAACTGTGGTTTGCAACTCTTCTTTTTATTGGGGGGCAAGAGAGAAGGAGAGAAAAGGAGCTTTTAAGAACATAAAACTGGACTCTGGCACGATATTTTTTGCATGCATTTTCCAGGTAGAAGAGTATTTATGGGAGTTCATCCAGCACTCTTTCCTTAACAGTCACATGAGTTGGCATCCAAGGCAGGAAAAAAAGGAGAATGAAACCACAGAGTTACTTTCAATTAACAGTCTGAGCTTAAAAAAAGATTTTAAATAATTTAAGGGGTTTTGACTTTGAAAGTGTTGGACCTTGCTGCACTGTTACACAAGAAGGGAAATTCCACCCGTTTCCCTCTGCAGCCTGATCATGAATTTCTGCTGCTTCAGCTAATATAGGCAGATCAGTTCTATTTTTCTGTCATAAGGCAGATTCAGCCACCTTGGCTGTGCTGTGTGTAGGCATTCCCCCAGTACAAGCAGCAGAGGGAAAAGGGGGAAGAACTCATGTTGGGTTTTCTTATTTATATTTGCGTGTACAATGACACAGTGCATAATGGAAAAGAGAGTGGGTTTTCCTACTCTGGAGTTCTTATTCAGAGAATTTCTTTATCACATGCCTAATCTAACTCATCTGACCATAATGGCATGATTCTGAATAGGGGTGTCAGTATTCAAGTAGGGCTAAATGGTGAGGTTTTTTGTAAGTCTTCACCTAAATCATATTGTTCACATGACCAGCAAGCAATGCAACAAACTTTTGATGTTGCATGAAAATTTTAGTCAGCAGAATACCAGGGAAAGCTTTCTACACAAGTTCAGATTTAGAAACCCTTAAATCTTATCCCATATCATATTTCACTCAAAATCAGCAATATTGGCAACGGAGCCAGATATTGAATAATGTAAACCCAAAATAACTTACTCATTAAAGTCCTGAAGAACATAATCAGCAACTTCAAGGAAAAGTGCAAGGGGGAATATCTTACCCATCATACAGGTTACAGGAGTCTATGCAGGTCCTTCCCCTGATGAAGCGCTTGCAGGAGAGACACTGGTCTGGCCCTGGCCCCCAGCAGCCATCACTTGAGCACAACTCATTACACACCATTCCATCAGCAGCTGCAGAGAGAGAGGACACTGTCATTAATGTACATAGTATTCCAAAATCCAAAGGAAAACATGCCATCAGCATTCCGCCACACTTGGAAAACTAAACTGGATGTTCAGATTTTCTAGATACAGAACAGAGAAGAAGCAGAAAATTATCATCACACCACCACAGAAACACGCCATGCACTCCCAGCTGGAATGTTGTACACACTTCTGGTTTGCTCCTTTCAGAAAAAAATTGAATGAGGAAAACATCCGAGAGACTGCTGCAAGGATGATCAAAACCAGAGAGGAGCCTCTACATGAGGAATAAATAGAGAAGCAGCCTTAGAGAGGGGTGAGAAAGGGCATGATAAAGGCCTATAAAATCCTGAATGACAAGGAGGTAAGTAAACATGAAACAATTGTTCACTGCTTCTTCCAAGTCCCTCATGGGCATTCAAAGAGACAGGAATCCAATAGGGTTCAAAACTGAGATTTTTCTCCACAGAAAGTATAGATCAACCTGCAGAATTCCCTGACACAGGATATGGTAAATGCCAAAAATTTAAAGGATTTGAAAAATCAATTGTCCAAATCCACAAAAGGTCTATTAAACTAAAATATAAAACATTACCTGTGAATTGAGGACTCCCTGAAATAAAACTTATGGATGGTGAGGAAAAAGTTGAAGGAAAGTCATCATTAACTGTGATTTTTAAATTATTTATTGTAAAAAGCATCTGAAGAGCTGAAGAGCCAAAGAGCCTTTCTATTAAAACTCCCAAAATAAGCAATATACAAAGGGTGGAAGGGAAAGTTTATTTCGAAGAATGAGAGTCTGTATTTTTATTTTATATAAATCCTTCTCTATGCAAATATACAGATGATGTGACTGATGGAGAAAATGAGCAAAGAACAGAAGAAAACACGTTATCCCTCCAGCATCTGAAGAAAGTCAGGGTGCAGTTCCAGCCAAATTCTGGTATGTGAAAGGACTTTCACTTTCACATTCACTTTTCCACTATGAAATGTTTTACACAAATGGATTACACACTGGGCTGAGTAAATTAAAACCACCAAAGATCTGAAATATCAGAGATGGCAACAATATAGACCCTTGTTTGCTTTTTAAAACATTGGAAACAACTTAAGGGAAGTGTCAAATAAAAATTAAAAGTAGGTGTGCAGGGAGAATTTTAACACCCCCTCCAATGCTGTAGCAGGAAGATGAACAGTTGGGAACAAACACACAGAGACTGAATACACGTATAAAACAGCAACTGTACATGCCCAGCACACATTTAAAGAGAAGAAATAATAAAATCAACAGAGAATCTTTTTGCAAAATTTTTCCAAAAACCCTTTGGCAGGTTTATATGAAATAAAAAGACAGTTGTTCTTCATGAACTATTTTTCTACACTTCCTTCAATGCATCAGCACAGCTGGGTGACAAGAAAAAACAAATCCTCTTTTCCTTTCTGGATACTTGATGATTTTGTCTCCCCTGTGCAGGCTGGAACAGTGTAAGTAGGTACTGTCTATTACAGTCTATCTGAACAATTGAAGAGTATACTGAGTTTTATCACCTGAGAAGCACAAAGCCCTTCTAAGTCGCAGAAGAGCCAGCAGAAAGATGCTTTCTGCTGTCCAACGCATGTTTTAAAACTGGTTATTCTGTGCTGCAGAGTATATAACGCCCCCCATTGCAGCACAGTGCCTATGACAGCAGCTGACTGTACAGGAGCACACCCTGCTCCGTGTAGCAACTCTCCCGAACTGCTCCTCCGTCGCTGCTTTCCAGCGTGCAGCACTGTTGGATGTTGGCACCCTGTTTGTCAAACACATCTTCCTGCTCTACGTAGCAGGCCTGGCCCATGTCCTCTCCTATTTCCTACCAGGCTATTCCTGCACCTCCTTTTGCTCACTGACATGCAGGAAGTCCACTTTCACACTAGCATGGTGCTTTCACTTTGGCACACACTGCCTGGCCTGGCCCTGTCACCCCGCTTTCTGACCACTGCACTTGTCAGAAAGCAGTTCTTAGATAAAAAGACACAATAATTGTATGCATGGTCTCTCTCCTAGCCCATGTAGCAAGACGAGCAAAGCTTCTTCTGCATTTCCTTCCTTCTTGCAATAGGACATTTTGCTTTATTGGGATTGAAGACGGCAAATCGTCACCTACTTGTTTGGTTTGCTGCCTTCAACATATTCATAATTCACTGCCAAAAAAGGACGTTTCACCTTTATACTTTTACAAGCAGCATAGGAACCAATCAAAGATTTCATGTCCTCCAGCCCATGCAGGCAAACTGACCCAAGAACAAGAGATCCGCCAGGATGCTTCTACCTGTACTGCACTGCCACTGACCCTGCACAGCTCTGCTGTGCAAGACATGTAATTCATGGCCAGAGTATTATTATTATTATTATTACCGTCTTATTCATGCATCACAAATAGCCTCACACATGAAAAGTCTGTGCATGTTTTATCAAGGCTGGAATTTAATTTTTTTTTTCTTTTAATGTCAGATAGACTTTTTTAAAGTCAACATCCAAAAGGTATTCAGAATTATCTTTTTCATTTTTCTTTTGCCTCAAAGCTCAAATCAGGTACAGCCAAACAGAAAATAATTAAGTTTAGGAGTTATTCCAGGTGGTCATTTAATATCCTTTAAAGTGTATTAATTATCACGGATTCCAGCACAGCAAGAGGGACATGAGCTACTCAGCAGGGCATTTCAGAGACATGCCTTATCCTCCTTCCCTGAGCTATGCTGCAAACCAGCAGCCCTTCTGCTGCAAAGGAACCACACCAGCACAGCCAGCATGGACAGAAACACAAAATTCAGCTTTTTATTACTGTCTTTACACTAATTTCTTTTAAGCATAGCAACATTTTTATAGCAACTATCAAGTGTCAGTAGTTCCACTATGCTGCTGACTGAACTTCACAGAAATCAAAGGAATTAGGCAAAAACTTCGCTTTAGCAAATGCTGCACATGTAGCCCACAGTTTCCTTTTGCACCTACTTTATAGACATTTCATGCATATCTCAGTCTCATGCTGGCTTTGTGCAGTACAGTTCAGGAGAGGCACTGACTTGGTATTAAAGGGCAATTTTGGCCTGTCTCACGTTCATTGACTACAGGAGCACCCAGAAAAAGCTGGTCATTTCAGAGGAGCCCAAATCATGTCTTAGGGTTTAGAGCACACTTCAGTGCTCCCCCCCAGCACCTTCATGCCTGGTCTGCCAATCTCCCTTGAACTCATCCAGTCTCATGGTGATGTGTGACTGACACTGAGTCCTGCCTCAACAGGGACACCTGGGATTCACACACAGCTTCAGCCTTAAACTGTATCAGCAAATAAAAAAAAAAGAAGGAAAAACCCAAACCCAGAGACTATCCCAGTTCTAATCAAGCAAACTTTTTATATGAATAGTTTTGTTTTCTAATCAATTACTCACTTTAGGTACCTGTCATGCAACAAAAAAAGCCCAATCTGGTTTGGAGATCCCTTTCTTCTCATTTTAAATTTTAAGAATATTGGTAATTTTTCTCTTTTGTTTTCCCCACTTGACATGTGAAGGCAGTTTCCTATTTGCTTTCTCACCTTTTTTTGGTAAATCTAAATTTATTAGCAGTGATTTCCTTTATTTTCATTGTTCTCAGCTGTCAGACTACTCAGACTAATCAGGATTTATTTACACACACAGAATGTTGTGCTAAAATATCCCTTCAAACAGCAAGTGACAGCATTACAAGGTACCTCAGAAAACATACTCAGTAACCCTTATGCAAACAAAAATGGAGCTTTTCAATAAAAAAAATCATGATTACCCTATTGAAATCTAGCTAACACGGTGCCTGTAGTCTACAAAAAAGCAACACAAACAAAAACCCCCACAATTTCCTTTTGCTTATTTCTAAGTCACAGAAATGTTTTCACAAATGAATCTTGGCAAGAAGGGAGTGGCTGTTTTGACAACTTATAAAAACCCATTACACTTGTCCTTCTCTTCTTTAATTATCAGAATGGCTAAAGAAATGCTTCCATTTTAGACACGTAATTTTGCATTTCCACGAGCTGAGCATGTTCTGAAGCTGCAGCATATCACACAGCCATATGAGGAAGGAAAGAACAGTAATGTTCCTGACAGGAACTCATTTTTATCAGGAGTTTTAGAAGAAGGGATCATTCTTTATTAATGGGGTCACACAGATTAGACGCAGAAGGGTTCAGTGTTTTTCCCCAACCCAGACAGAACACAGCTACTACACATAGCTACTAAAAAAAAAAAAATTATTGTTATTTGGCTGTACATGTATGGGTCAGATTCAAAGCCCTAAGAATTCAATAGAAAAACTCTGGTAGACTTCAATTAGCTTTGTATCATGCCTGCTAATGAATTTACTCAAGTTGTTGATTGGTGGCTAAATTGATACAATTCATAACAAACACATTTACAACAATCTTTGCCTAGAAAGGTTTCACCATACACTGCAGGTGATACTAAAGCTGAAAGAATTATTTAAATAACTTTGTATAAAAGAACACTTTTTTTCTGCTTTTATTTTTTGTGCACTCGTATTTCACGTGAGCCACCTCTGACTGTTCCATAAAAAAACCCATGCTGGGAAAAAAAGGTATATTCTTCACTTCAGCAAGGAGCAAGAGTAAAATCTAACTACCAGAGCACATTCTCTGGCAGATAACTTTATAGTCATTCATCCTACATTAATAATGTTCATAACAAAGTGAGTTTTATACACAGTGTTTAACATTACAGTTTATAGTAGCAGACAGTTAAAGCCTACATTAGATGAGAGTATTTTAGATAAATGCTCTCCAATTAATCTGCATTTGGCTTATCAGTTTGAAGATGCCCATTTGACATCTGAACACTTAAACAACCTTGGGGGACACCATCAGACTGCACTGGTGCAGAGGCCACTAAAGCCTCAACTTGTTCCTTGCCCTCAAATTTCCTCCTGCAACCTGTCCCCAGACTCGGGTGTCTTTTAGGGTCTACACAGTTCAGAAGACTCCCAGTGGTCACAGACCACCACCCTGGTGATCACAAGCTTGGATACTGATATTTCTATCCCTGAATGTGTGTATGGAAGGTGGAGAAGAGAGAGGTCACATCCTTTCCAGGTACCCCCACCTTTCTGGCCCTGCATGGGACAATGTTAGAAAGCCAACACAAAGCAGTAGAGCATCCTGGGGTTTATGGAGTATTTATTATTATTATTAAAACCACACACATATGTTTTCCTCCTGTATTTTCAACATTCTACAAAAAAGGGAAGTCCGCCCTAGGCTTTTAACTACCATTTGGAAAAGCCATCTTGGAGGCAGTGAAGTATTTGGTGACTATTTTAACATAGTTAACAAGTAGCATAAACAGCAAGATTAAATAATTGAGGGTATCAGGAGAATAAAGTATATTTTGTGTGCTGGATAATTTTGTAGCATTTTCCACTGGCTGAAGTCTATTGTCTTAGTCCTCTTCATCGAAAAAACAAAATCAGAGTTTTGCCAAACTCTACCATGTCAGTGTTATCTCAAAGATGAAGCACTAATATAGACCAAATTTTCCCCCAACAATTTTACACGCTCAGTAATTTTTCAATATTTCCTCAATGACGTACAGAGTCAGCTGAAAACCGCATTAAACGGTATGAAAAAATACCATCATCTTGAGATAGATCATAAAAGTCATTTAAATAAGATGGTGACTAGAAAATCTTGGAAACTCCTATGTAAGTTTTCAAAAAAAGCTACACATGGATAGAAAACATTTGCTCTAACTTGTTTTAAGCCATTAACAATCACTGGGTAGTGGGGAAAACAAACCCAAACTGACAGTGACTCAAAATATACAAAGAAATAACAATAAATGTATCTGAAAGTGGCAGTAATAATTATCATGGTATAGACTGGTTTCTTGACTGGAAACCATGTGAAAAAAAAAATTAGATATTTTTATTAACAAGTCACACCCTGCTAGGTACTATGCAAGCAAACAGACAGTATTTCTGCCATAGAGGATGGATGCTGATCCTGCAAATATTTACTTACTCATTTCCCTTCCCCATTCAGATGAGTCTTATTTGTCACTCAAGAGGCATGGGCATATGCCCAAGCATCTGCAGAATCAGCGTCTAGAACAGGCAAAATATGAAAGGCAGAAATGGAAACCCTAGAGGCTTGCCCTCAGATCCCAGACATTCAGGCAATGGAAGATGCAGGGAAAACTCTCCTAAACCCTGGTCTGTTGGCCTCTCCTGAAGATGACAGATGCTTCAAAGGATGCTGGAGGAATACATCTGGTGCTAAGGAACAGTGCTGCCTTACTCCAAGCAGTTGTGAAGATTTTAGTTAGACACCTAACCTGCAGCAGAACCCACTGAACCCTTGAGAGGTGCCGCCGGACAGGCAGAGCTGAAGCAGCAGGAGAGCTCTTCTCAGCTAATGCTGACCCTCACGAGGCCACAAAACATTAATCAATTCATTCATACAGATGTGCCTAGAGAGAGGAAACCACTGTTCCCTGTTAGGTTTGCATTGCCATTACAGTTGGGTTGGAGTCACTTGGCCTCTGGCCTATGTTCATTATACACAGTCTGTTTAATGAACACAAGTTAGAGTCCACTTTTAAAAGGGCCCTTGGCACTGTAGCTGACATCGTGACTTCTTAAAATGAAATGAATGAGATTTGTTTTCCTCATTAAGATTCCCATGGTGTTAAATCTGCTAAATTTTCTTTAGGACTATTTTTCTTCCTGGAAAATGACAAGTCTTTATTATAACAGATCCTCAACAAGCTATAAGTGAAATAAAGTTTACATTTTCCCTTTGTGTGCAAATTTAGTGACAAAATATACAGTGTGAGGGCTGTGACAACACATCCAAGTTTTCATTTGCCCTGGAAGCCTATGTTTCAGTAATTGTGGCAGCTTCAAAGGGACTCAAAGTGAGTATCCCAGGAAAGGGCAAGGAGGTATTTGCCAAAGGAGTCCTGACAATTAATATGGGAATATCTTCCAAACTAATGTGTTCAGCTACATCCCCAAGCTCTCAAAACTAGTTAAACAACTGGGACACTATCCCTTGAAAGAAAAGTATCTTACAAAGTTTACCTCTGAGTGATTTTCCATTGTCTTCAAACATATGGTAAGTCATAGAGAACTTGAAGCAAAGAAGAATCATTACTGTATGAGACATCAGGCACTAAGAGCACAATTTTTCTTCCATGGTCAGCAGTTTTTCCTGTGGTAGAGAGGAAACTTGTGCTCTAGGGAAGGTTCACAAGTTCATGTATCTCCTCACAAGATGCGACCACCAGGATCTTGGAATATAACCCTAGTGACTCCTGCATGGTCATCAAGACCTTGTGCTTCTTCAGACTTCTTTCAGTCCAAGGAATTCCTTATGGGAGATCTCAAAAGGCTAATTCTGCATTCCTGACATAAAAAGTATACTTGTTATTAGCCTGCTAGCACAGAACTAGGTGGTTCCTCACCAACTGATCCTGTAACTCTGCAGCGGAAAGCATAGCAGCACACCTCTTTCTTGGCAGCATCTCCATTTGCCAATTAATACACTGTTTTTCATAGCTGGCTTTCTATTTGGGCACAGAAAAAAACAGACTGCATGCTGGAACTACAAGCCATCCCTAAATGCTTCAGTTGGCAAGACTGAAGGCTTTGTTATTCATGGGAAGTCAGGAGCTTTCCTCCAAATTTCAAGGGACTTGAATGTTCCGGAAAACACATGCTTTCCCCTTGCAAGGCTGACCTTATTCAATGTTCAAATATTCTTCTCCCTTAGAAGAACTCAAAGAAAATAAGAACTCAAAGAAAAGAAAAAGCCTTGAGGTGGAAAGAACGAAAAATAAGAGAACAGAAGCCATTAAGACAACGATACAAAGCTCACCCATGTTGAGCAACTGAGCTAAATCAGAACAAGATAAAGTTGGGTGTGTTGAAAATAGAGCTTTCTTTGATCACATTACACTGTCTACACTGAAAGCAAGTGGCATTTTTTAACTTGCATGCAAAGAGACAGCCTAATAATAAGATCATTATTATTAATAATACCCCACAACAAAATCACACAGAGACCTACCAAACAAGTGTTCTTTCTGTAGCTCTTACATGGTAGAAGAGATTAGTAAAGTAACTGAGCAGCAGTGACAAAGCTGTTGTTGCGTTTCACCTAACACTGAAGGTGTACTACAGTGATGAGTGCAGCCACAAAATCTTTCAAAGCAGATCAGAATAGTACTTGAAAGGGAGGGGAGGGAAAAAGAAAAGGAAAAACCCAAACAAACCTACAACAAAAGAACTAAAAACTTAAGTTAAAAGTAGGATCACAGGCTCAAAAAAAACCCAAAGAAAATATTTTTGGCTGGTCAAAGCACAAAACCCAGAAATATCACTTAAGCATACAGCAATTTAATGAATCTCCTCTCTTGCTAGCAGTCTAACAGATGCTTAAAATTAGCTGTATTGCTGGTACTATATGCTTGTATTAATGCAATTTACTGCCTGTTTTCTGTATAAGCAAATTGCATCTTCTGCTACAGAGGTTTCTTTGGCTTTTCAGTACTATGATCTCAGCCCAGGTACCGGCATGTGAGCTTTCCTGACAGATAATTAGGCCCAATTAAAAGTACTGTTCTTTATAAGATAGGACAAATACAAAAAGGTGGAAGTCATTGATCAAAGTCAGTCCCAAAAGTGACCTTTCTGGAATAAGACAAGGCCACTTGGATGAGGCAGGGTAGGGGAAGCAGAATATGCTCATCTCACTTCATAAGGAAAGGGCTGTAGTTTTTGAGTCTGTAAAGTCATGAACACTCCAATCAGAGCCTTCATGATTCATGTCTGTGAAACTGGATTGTTACCCTGGAAAATTCACATCATGGCAAGGAAGCAGTGGGCTCTCTCTGCTCCCTTTTATTTGTTCAAGCTTTAAAAAATTTTATTTTCCTACAGAGGCAGACTGGTCCAAATCCTTAAATGCTGTAAATGATCTCATCTCCACGAATGTCCACGGAGCTCCAAAAGACACCAGCTAAGTTCCTGACCTGCTCTCTGCATTGTAACCCATCTGTAAAACCAAACCCCTCTCGCCCCAGGTGAGGCAGCCATAGAGAAGATGATGTGCTGTGAGCAGCAGTACTTACTGCAGTTCTCTGCCCTCTTATTCCGATGGATCACTGTCTTTTGACTGGGTGTGCTGAACAGGCTGGTCCAGTTGACAGTGTGGTAGTAGCACAAATTGCTGTTGTCCGTTATGTAGATGTTGCCAGCACTGATTTGCTTCAAGGACTGAAACTGCAGAGAGGTAATGCCTTGTTGCTTTAGGATGAGTAAGGAAAGGCCACTGTGATGAGAACAAAAGTAAGAGAACAGGAATTAGCTCCAGAAGGCAGAACTTACTAGAGCTGGCTGGAAATTTCCCACTGGAATTAGTTCCTAGTGGCAAGATGATCTTTCTGGAAAAACTGAGAATTGGCCAGAAGACTTTTATTTTGGGGTGACACAAGTATTTTATGAGTCAACCTCCAGTTCTACTGCCTAGAAAATGATGAGCCCTGTAAGAATTGAGATGCTACAAGCTGTGATGCTCACAGCACTAGGTCAAGGAGGCCAGCAGAACTCCTCACGTACTTCCGTTTCATCCATTAACAGACTTTTTGAGATAAAGTGCTGTTAGGAAAAATGAATAAAATTCAGATTTCTTTTTCAACAGCATTAATACTATGATTGTTTATATGCTACTGAGAAGCTGACAAAGTCATGCAAAATGTATTCAAACATCTTCTGACAGGCATCAAATTAATGTCATTTAAAGTAATACAGGAAGAAATTGTTATTTTCAAGGAAATTTTTACAGCCAACTTTCTACATTTCATTTTTCTTTTGTTGTAATATGCGGTTATCATCTTTTTTCATCAAAGGAACAGTAAATGATTGTCTGTGTAACATGGAAACGACTGCACATATTTTATGACTGAAGATTAGTGAAGACAATATCCAGTTTCTGGGCATCCTTTAAGTTATTGTATTTTAATGACTGTAATTGTTTTCCAGCTGTTCCAAATAAAAATTGCTGCTTTGAAACAGAATGCTGTGATTCAACCCCAAGGTTTCACTGCTATGCATATTCTGCTCAGGTTGCTGTTTAACATGCCAGCAGAATCCTGTGCCTGATTTACTTATCTCCACAATGCGTAACAAGGGGTTGCTGTATATATATATCTATCTATATCTATATATCACTTAAGTACCTCCTTGTGCTTTCCCCATTATTTCTCACCACATTTTCTTCTCTTTGAACCAGTTTCTCAATATGAGTTTTCAGACAGAAACATCCCTGGTAAACACAGCACTAAAAAGCTCATATACAATCCCACCTGCAAGGTACTTTAGTGATTTGAGTGTTCTTCTTTGTATTGATCTTTTATCTCAAAACCACATTGTTCTTCAGGCACATGAACTTGCATTTCCAACTGTGACCATACAAACTCCTAATAATGGGGTTAAGTTCTACTATTCATGTCTTTTAAATTATATTTTTTCACAAGGTATTTTAAACCATAAAATGTAAGTTCCAGACAATGAGTTAATAGCTACAGCCATGAACCAATACTTTTTTAAAAAAAATAATTATGTTCAGAAGGTATCATCCATTATAAACAACCAATTAGCAAAGATACTGGTAATGAACAAAGAAAAAAATAAATCAATTTATGATGTCCTTCCCATCAGGAATGAAGGATGCTGCATTCTGTGCTACTGAACAAAGAATCATTGAATACTAATAAAAAATTATTCCATCAGCAGAGCAAGTACCTTACCTATAGAGAGCTCTTCCACCGATGGTAACCAAGTTGGAAAACACCCTGAAATCTGTCATATTCTCAGGCCATGACTGTATGTTCAAATACCCTGAAGGAGGAAAAGGTGAACACATGAACATCAATAACTTCAACCATGGAGACTGCTTTACCACATACATGAGTTATGACAGGTCTAGCCTATAAATGAAAGACAGTGCTGGTTTGAGACAAAGAAATGAATAAGGAATGCTGCAGACTCCCAGGCTGCTCACCACTGTCTCCTCCAAGAAAGCACAGGAGGACTGGACACAACAGCACTGCATCCACTTTCAGCAGCCACAGTGAGGGAGAACCCAAACATGGGCTGGAACCTTGCAAGGCTTCCCAGCCTCCTGTAAACAGCACCAGCAGATAAAATGAAGATTTGCCTGAATTAACACCATGCCATTCTAAAATGTGCTAGAGACTGAGGCCAGAAGTTGAGAGTTCCATCGTGATTCATTAAAAATGGTAAGACCTTCCTATAACAAAGCACTTGCATTAATTTCTGAGCTGAGGACTGTTCATCACCAGAGCACTCTCTGCACAGGTGTGTTGGACCACTTGTTTTGTGCTACACAGACTTCCAGAGAGTGCAGTTCCTGATGTTTTTGACTCTACTGGACTGCAATGCAGTACATAGTAAAGCACAGGGGTAATTCCACTTAAGTAGCAGAGCTCAGACTGTTAATTACTGTTCTTAAGAATGGCAAATTACAGCCAGATTATCTTTGACATTAATTAGGGGAAGACAAAGAGTCTGCTTTCAGTTTTAATCCCACTGGTTTGCTGAAAAAACACAACTTTTGAGAGGTAAAGCAGGTGGGAGAGAACTTGTTTCAACACTTGTTGAGCTCTACCCAGCTACAACCAAGCTGTACTGCCCAAAGGTATTTTTTTTGTGCATGTAATAGAATTATTTTTTTGCATTTTCCTATCTGTGCATAATCAGCAATCAAATAAGAACTCGGAGCTGTAGTATCTTCCTCCCTGTCCCCCAAATGAAACAACAAGAAGCAAAATGCAAGAAAACAAAAGTACTGAGTTCTAGTTCTATGACTCCACTGAAAAGTCACAAAAAATGGGAGGCACTACCACTCCACACATTATACATCTATCTTAAAATTACAGAAGCTAATTTGCAGCAGCATCTTCTGTTAGACCAAGGGAAGTAGCTAATAAAAGCAGATTGGCTAGTCTGTTTTTCCAAGGCATATTTCAAATATTTTCAGGTAAAGACAATTGTTTCTCACATTTCAGCACCATTTTCCTCACTAGGTGTCCCCCCTTGCAACATTTGTCCTGCTTTGCTAGATGGGACCAAGATCCCTTGTCCACTTGGTAGTAAGGTCTTGATACCCCAAATGTAACAGGTATCCTGTGTTCATGAGCAAAGGACAACACACTTGTGAATGTCAACTAATACTGACATTGTTCTGCATTAAACTTGAACAAAAATGACAGCAGGATGAGCTTAAAGAAAAAAGTACCCAGTGTTCTTCAGAAAAACCCAACAAGTGACAGCCATAAACGCAAAAGGAGAAGTTCAGATTATAGGAAATCAGAAGTGTTTTACCTGTTATCTCTCTCACTGTTTGGAAGATATTTAATTTCTCTGGATTGATTGCAGCAATTGTGTGATACGGGTCTCTGAAAGATTAAAAACACATAATGTGATGCTCTAAATAATAAAAGATTAGGTTCTCAAAACTATATCATGTAGAAAGCAGCATTAAGGTGCTCAACACTTTGCTTTTAGGAAGCATATGAGCCAGATTTCTTCAGCATATTGTGCTTGTAGACCTGTGTCTGACTTCTCCCAAGTCTTCTTGAAGGAAAATAATGGTGCTTAACATCATTATTGTCTCAGCAAATACTTATGCTATGGAAAATGAAGGAATTTGAAACAACCATGAATGACCTCGCTAAAAAAAAGTGAATTTTCAATGTTTTTTTCTGGGAATACTAGCTGAAATGGTACAGCTGCAATACTGCACTACCAGGACTAACAAAACTGCTCCTCAAACAAGTGACAAGCTATAATGAAAACAAAGCTAAGAGCATGCCAGCAGTTCCTGGCACACCTTTTAGAACATGTTGAAGAGGGGATGTCAAAAAGTACAGATCTCTGCCAAGCAAGTTTGTCACAAGAGAAATAAAATAAGCCCCAAAAAGTAGAATCTCAAAATTAGATATGCTACAGTATAGAAAGATGAAGCTGACCTTGATTTTGAGAGTGACATCACTTAGTAAATAAAACTTTGGCCCCCTAAGAAGCCAGTAAGAAGGTTACACCAAACAAAAATGCTTTAAAAAAAAAAAAAATCTTTCTTTAATGTCGTGTGTTGGTATTTCTGTGGGTTTGCCGAGAGTAGGAAACACCCACAGTAAATTTGGAGCATGCACTTCCCCTTCTCCTCCTTCTGCTTTCCAGGACACACCATTTTTGGAATTGAAACATGCAGGTAATCAACTAGGGGGTCTTTGGGGAGAGGCCTCACAAGTCTATGTGATGACAGACTGATGGGGTCACTTCTAACCATCCTGGAGGTGACTCCAGGCTAGCAGCAACAAAATGAGTTCTTGAATCTCAGCATAAAGCCCAGTGGACCACAGAAGCATCAAATACACTCAATTTTAACAATTTGGGGCTGTCAGAAAACTAAATAACAAGTTTTGACTACCTAACAGAAACACAGTATCTTTGCTTTCAAAATGCATTAACATCAAAAAAGGAAAACCCTTGCCTGTAATAAACATTAGGTTGCTGAATTGGACCTCTAAATTCTAAGATAAAATAGTTTTAAAAATGCAGATAAACACTTAAGCCCCTTAAACAGGTAAATGTCTTATATGTTTTATCAGCTTAGTTCCAGCTCATCGTGAAACTGGAAATGGACAACTAAAGGGAAGATAAGAAGCTGGTGAGCACTGAGGGCTCATTGCTCCTGTTGCAAGGTGGGGGGAAGGAAGAGGTAGCATTTGCTGCTAGAGCTGGGGGTGTCCACCCTTAATCACAGCTCTCCTTGATATATCCCATCGTACCACAGGCAGCAACATAAGCAGAAGGCAGTTGGAGTTTTTAGCACCCCAACCAGAAGAAAACAGTGGAGACAAAGCTGCATCCGACCTATACAGGTCCTACCCATTTTCCAGTCAATGTTTTTTCTGTCTCTGTCTCAGGCAGCAGAGTGTATCCTAATAAAGATCACTTTATCCATACACATTGGCTCAGAAGAGTACTACTGACTCAACAAAATTTAGGTCCACCTTCATCCCACTTAACTTCTGGCCACTGGTAAAGCCAACTCATAATTATCAAATTTATATATAAAATATTATAAATAATTGTGTATAAAACACTAAAAATTCATCCTTCTAAAAGCTGCAGTTCACTCTGAGGAAACAAATTTGTAAAAGAAGTTAAGTGAAAGTTGGAGAGGAAATATATAAGATTGCTGTTGTTCTATACTGTCTATTTATATAATTAATTGTGCAGGTACTGTAATTTTTTTAATTTCCCTTTTATATTATTGATTTGCAAAATGGAACAGAAATCTTAAACAAAAACCTGTTCCAGAAATATAGCTACTATGAGATTCATTCTCCAATCTTCTTCTCTTCCTTTAATATATACTACTGTAATTTATACTGTAGAACAATTTAGGGTTGCAGAACTCAGTGTCCTCATACTTTAGACTTGTTGAAGTGAGTTTTCTTCATGAAGAATGGGAGATTAAATGCTGCACAGTTTCAACATTGCATGGCCTATTCTTCTATAATATCGAACAAACTATTTTAGCCCTCTGCTTATAGTTCGAATTTAGATATTTTTCATGTGAATACAGTTTTATTCAGGACTAGGTTTGATTCCTTTAATTTAGACAGATTTTTTAGTGAGACTTGTCTCATAACTTTGCAGCTACTACAACTTTTGCAACAAAAGCAGTTCTTATACTCAAAATTACATTTCATGTAATGCACTGAATTAATCCATACAAAATTTTTCATGGTCTCTAGTTGATTGTCTTGCATTTACTTGATTTCTTCCTGTCCTGTGAGATCTAACAGATTTACATCAGCCTCCTGGCCAGTCATTTTGGCCAGATCAGAAAGTGACGGCCTGAGCACTGACTACTGTGTTACCTCCTCCAGGGTTTCAGCAAGTTCCAAGTAGCATTTCCTTAAACCACCTGAACGAAAGTCCTTCTTCCTCCCTATGCTACATTAATCTTTCCCATTGCACTCCCTGCTGAAGAGATGAGAAGACCAGCTACAGATTCAAAGTTCACGTTCCCTGGCCTTTTGAGAACCACTGAGCTGCAGGGCCCCACTGAAGTGGGCTGTCAGCTGCCTTGCTCAGGGCTGCAGTCAAGTAGCAGGTGAAGCGTTACAACCAGTCACTGCAACAAATCACAGAAACAAGTAATTTCTTTCCACCTCACCTAGTAGGGAATTTTGAGCCAGCCAGCCTAGTGTCAGTCACTTCATTATAATCTAAACGTATCAGAATCTATAGAAAGACTAAAGGAAAATCTGCTGGCACTACTCATGACAGAATTCTGCTTCAGATCAATCTGCAGACATTCAATTAATCACACTTTTGTTATGCCATAAAGCTGCAAACATGGAGTTGGCTTGGGAACTGCATTTCAGGTATTAATTCTTGACAACTAGTTGCAAGCAATGCTGAAAGCTCAGAAGAATCTAAAAGGCAAGCTAAAATTTGAAACCTACACACTGGTAAAAGCAATTGAATATTTTATACTGTTAATGTACCACGAAATATCTGTATACTTATCACAACAAAGGGACAAGAAGGTTTAATCATACTTGTGCATTCTGACAATTTTGTTCATTTTAATAGGTGTAAAAATACCTCAAAGTGTCACATGTAATCCACCACGGCTGATTACAACATGAAGGCTTGAATTAGTAAGAAGATACAAATGAATGTGTGTTCTCTCAGTGACAGAAAGAATACAATGAAAGGAAGTGGCATTGCATTGGACCTCACCTGAACATCAAACCAGAGGATGTCTGCCTTCCTTGGGCACGTCCTACTCTTGCAGCATTTGCCCCACGAATTCACCTTTGCTACAATGGCAAACCCACATTGTACCAAACCGAACAGCAAGGCACCAGTTATCTGGCTGAGGTATTCTCCAGAAGAACACACCGGAGAGACTTGAAAACACTGGTTCTCTATCTCCACATCTTCAACCTGTTACTAAGGCTTATTCAATATGCAGCCATATTTAAACCAAAAAATGGATTAAAATACCAGTGAGTTCTGTGTATCGCTGCAATTGAAACTTGGATACTTTGTACATATATGCAGTGACAGCCACCCAGGCTATGACCAGTTATGCTAAGCAAGGCTCTCTCTGCATATTCTGCACATTAGACTACTGGTCATGCAAGATTTAAACCAAACTCACGTAAGGTAGCTTCCCTTTCTCCCTTCTGTTCTCTAATCAGCCATTATTGTAAGCCAGTATTGAGGATCTCATAAAGTAACCAAAAATCATAGTTGTCTTTTCTCTTTTTAGTGCAAACAATCTGATTCATCCTTTCTTTTCCTAGAAGTTGAATTTTTAGAATCAAGGCAATGGTTTCCTTCATAATGGAAGGCAGAAAACTAATTTATCCGCTATTCCATCAAAGAAGCCTGCAGCCATCATTAAGAGGTGGATGCAATTGGTTTCAGCTGGCACCATGACATATTTTCTCACTTACCCATGAATCCCAGTAACAAGGAAAATAAGGTTGCCATTGATCTTGGTACAGTTTATGAACTTGTCAATGTTGCTGGAATCCACCGTCTGAGCTGACACTAAACTTCCTGTTCCAATGCCATCACATGCTGCCAAAACAAGGAGCTTATGTAAAGAACTAGGAAAAACAATTACTGAATCAAAACACGTTGACCTTATGGACATGAATCTTCATTTCATTCAGCAGAGAGGTGTTCAAAGAGTACCCGGGACGAATATTTCCAAGGGAGCACGTGTCAATCTAAAACAAACAATAAACTAAAGCACCTGCCACAGAAGGACACCCTGGCACACAGGTTAAGGTATTTCACAGGGGATCTAAAGGCAAGTATCAACCACACAAAATACCACTCAATCCAGCCGTAAACATCTAACTTAGCTTTCCTCCTGAGAGAGTAAGGAACACTACATGGGTATTTTCATGCATCAAACTGCCTATCCAAACAGAAAAAAAAAAAGTACTGCAATTAAGCCAGGTACGGCTTCCACTAGGACTGAAAAGTGACACAGGCCCACATGGGAAAAATGATGGTGCTTTGCTCTGAAGACCTTCAAGCAGGGAGTAAAAAGTATCCCTACTGGAGTCTAGGACAGCAAAGTAACCTACAGATTTCAGTCTTCTCAACAGCAGAATCACTACTCTGTGTTTTAGACACTTAGAAGGGAGGTAGAAGATTCTGGGAAAAGAGAGACATTTTCAAAAAACAGAGGAAATATATGGACACCTAATGTTGTATTGACAAGTATGAGACATACCATACATTGAAGTCAGGGCTTTTTGTATGGCCCCCTTTGGAATGACAAAAGGACAGCTCTAAAACACCTCCAGGAAAAATTTGTCATTAAAATAACATAATCAAGAATTCTTCCAGATTTCTCTAAAACCAACAGAGAAATCCCCTTCATTTGTATCTAATAAAAAGTAATTAGTTTGGTTTTATCACCATTACAACTCAATAAACTTTCAAGAAAGGCTGTTAATACTGTACAATGCACTCATGAAGGGTATTTCATGACAAAATAACACCCTGCTCTGCTACATTCAAGAAAATTTATACTGAACTACTTCCTACCTTTAGGGCAAATGTCAGTGCAGGGCTTGCACATCTTAATACCATTTTCTTCAACCTCCATCTTGGAGCTTGGACATGCACGAACACAAGAGCTGGAATCTACCACAAAGTTGTCTAAAGACAAAAAGAATATATTGGAAGAAAGTGAATAATGGTGCTGGGACACAAGTTTTTGGACTCTGTGTCAATACATATTGTTGCCTCAGCACTTTTCCATTGACATTAACATTTACCATTCACTGTTTTCAGAAGTGTGCAAGTAAGCAAAGACATGTTTTCGTAGACTTATGAAAATGAGTGAATCACAGAATGGTCAGGCCTGATCCCCTTTCCTCTCCCAGTTTAGCTTTATTATTATTTGTAGTAAAAAAAAGCTACAGTTGTTGGAGAAAAATAAAACAGGATGGTGTGCCCTTTCTCATACACACACAAAAATCTATACATCTGACATAAACCAGTGTACAAGACAATGGTAAGTATTTAAATTTTGCCACATAAACCAGCTGTCAAAGGGGATATAGACTGATCCTTCCTAATTGAAAGCTTAATGCTGTTAAGAAAGGAAAAAAAATGGGAAAAGCTCAATGAAGTATTTAAGCAAAGAATTTTTATACCCCTTATTGTGCATGGTATACCAGGTTCATAAAACCCCCAATCTTCCTTCAAATAATTCACCACTATTACAGACAGAACTAAGCCTTGACAGACACAGGCTCAGCCTACTGTCGTTCTGAACTCCTTCACAGATATTCAAAATCTGAATTTTGGTTTGGGTTGAATTATGGTTCCATTTATTACAGATCACACAACACAACTGTAAACCTCAGTAAGAATGAAAAGGATGGCAAGAACACTGTTTCCTTTATTTTTCTTTCTAACTAAACCAGCAGATTCAAAGATGGTGTGATGACCCTATAATTTTTAATGTTACTTGCTGGCTGGTATCTCAGAAGCATGTGTTTTTCACATGCATGGGATTATTCTTTTTTTAACTCCCTATTCCCCTCTAATTTTAATCTGGAGTTTTAAGACTGCATTGTTGTCAGTATTATGTGTTTACTCCTGATTGGGACAGAACTGTTCAGAAAATATTTGGAGTAGCTTTCAGTCAAACCATCATTATTCCAAGTTAAGAAAAGGGTAGCAGTATCATCAAAGCAGTTGGTGCCAGGTGCTGGATTGTTATTTTCCTGAAACAAAAATTTCTACCCTTTCACAATCCCATTAAGTATTTTAACAGTTTGTTTAGAAATTTGAAAATACTGATCTACAGCATGAATGTCACAAGCAGTGGTCATGAAAACAGAAACCTAGTGAAGCCCCTTTCTTTAGGAAAATCACTATAGGATACCTGGGAAGTGTCAGAAACCCAGAACGTCACTGCCTTTAGTTAACATATGATGGAGTTATTACAGGCTGTGAGCACATGTGGAGGGATCTGAGGGATGGTGCCATGCACTCATTGTTTTCAAGGCTCCTGAAATGCAACTCAAACTTCCCTCACCACAGGAGAAGGCAGGTAACACAGCACTTACGTGGGCACTTTTTGACGCAAAAAGCACCATAGGTGTACTTGGCATTGTGATTGTGCTCCAGCTGGAAGGTTGTAGGGTTGTATACAAAAGTCTGGGGGCACTGCGTGACACATGCACCACTGTCATTGAAATTCATACAGGCCTGCAAAACAAGGGAGACAAAAAATATTAAATTAAATCATATAGCTGCTTTTGGGGTTTTTTAGGCTTAAAAGACAGGCTTGCTGCAACATAAGGCATGTGATATATAGCTTTCTAACCTTCATTTTGGCTACTTAACATTTCTTGCTAGGATCTTGGCAAATACATGATTTTTCAAATTAAGCAGGTTCAGTGAGCCTCCTTAATTTGAGACATTAACTGTTACAACACTTCCTACAAAAACAAAAAAATACTGTAGTTTGTTTCATAACTACTGTTACTACTTGCAATCAACTAATTCACAACTTGATAGCACAATCTGAAAGTGCCAAGAGTGAGCAGCTATTTATCATAGTCAGTCTAAACAAATGCTAATGACTTTTTCAGAGGTCCAACCTTTAGATTCCTTACAGCATGAGTCCATCATCCAGCTGAAAACTAAAATTCCCAATTAGAAAGCAAGAGGGATAAGAACTTCTTTTGAGCTAGCACAGCAGGGGGTCATTTCCCTAAGTGGCAAGTTTAACAAGGTCAGTTGCTTCACACACTGAGAAAAGAAAATAGGACTTAGAACCACTTAGCATTCAAGCTCTACCATGCACAGCTGACAGAGGACAGGACCCTGACAAATGAAAAGGCAAGTGTGTGGATAATGGAAGTAATGGTATGCAGGGAAAATAATTGATCATGCAAGGTTGATAATTAGTAATAGAAAAAAACTCCACTGATTTTGACATTCCTTATCACTACATATCGTGTGTATGGTTTTAATCACAGATTATAAAAAAAGTTGGAGCAATTTTCACGAAGCATACCGTGAATGTCACATTTATATGAATATGAAAGCTGTAGCCTGGCTTGGATCCCTCCAGCAGTTTAAGCAACCACTGTTACTTGACAATGGTTCCTCAATAACCTGTCTTCCAGGTTGTTTCAGAAGTGTTAGTCTAGGAATGAATCCTTCTGGTCCTTTTCCAGGTTTTAAAAAATATAGATTGTTTTGTATCTTTAAAGAGTCAACAAGTATACCAACACATATGTCCTGTTCCCTCCCCTCCAGGGCTGGGACTGAGAGAAAAGTGAAAAAGATTTCTCTGTTCTGTTGCTTTTACTAACAGCTCTTATCTCCATTCGGACTGAGGGAGATTACTTGTCATGTCAGATTTCAGAAGGGAGAGGCTAATAATGCACCCAAGGACAATATATGCTGCTGAAAAGGACAAGCAGGGGGATCCATGATGAAGGCACTGTCCTGGAGCAAGCTAAGCCAAACTGCTGATTCTGTCTTTTCTGGTTCTTTAAAATGCCTATTGCAAAACCTGCCAGTTTTTCATAGAAACAGATTTTTTTTTTTTTTCCTTACAAAGATAAATACAGTCAATTACTTTACTCAGAACTGGATGGGAAGTCCACCCAACCAACAGGTGGTTCCACTGGGCACTCAGTGGGGCCCTCCTATGCATTTCAAGTTTTAGATCTGGTTTGAATCCAAGATGAGAACATCTTTAAAACTTTGCTTTAGCATGTTTGATTGTAGTTATGTCAGATGATGATTACTGTCTTGCTTTTAGAACTGAATATGCAAATGATTGTATGGCAGCATATGGAGGAGGATGGATGAATTTTATCTATAAATATTAAAACCATATTTACAACAGGATGCTGTTGCAAGCTGCCATAATACACTAAAGGATTTTTAATGCTTCATAAACTGTACTTTTGCTTATATACTAATTTAGTTTGTTTCCTTAGGCCATTTCTTACATATTGGCTTAAAAAGTACTCTATCATTTACATAACAATTCTCTGATAACAGTTTAGCAAATGCATAAAGCACACCAATACCCTTTGCAGAGATGGCAATTCTCAGCAAATACTGATCTAGAAGATTTTGGAACTTTTAATTTATTATTAAAACTCTTTGTATACATTTATAATTGCTTCAGTAATATATGCAAATTTCTAGCATTCTGTGCTAAACACCACTAATTTGTGAATAAAAGCACAGGGAAATGCACAGGGAAAAAACAAAGTTCTGTGTTTCAGCTGAAAGCTAAGAACAGTTTTTGATAGCCTAAAGGGTTACACTTTTCACCCACTGTGTCAAAGCAAGTAATGACTAGTCCTGAAAATTGCCAGACCCCTGCTGAATTTCTCTTACATTGCTCTGGGGCCAGGACTGAATGAGAATAAAGCCCTGGGTGCTTCTCTGCTGGATCAGAACAAACATGCTAGTTGATCTTTAGCATACATATTTCCATGACTGCCACAATTCAGAGAGTCTACTCCTTTTGTTGCAGGCTGCGGTACTACACAACTTACGCTGCCAATAACTTGTCCTTAACCTTTGAAAATGGGCATGCATCAACACATCAGCTTTCAGAATGTTCCTCAGCACTCATATGGGAACAATAACTGCATTTTTCCACTTCCCTTTGCCTATTTAGATTGTACGTGACACAGGAAAGAATGTTATTTTCCCATCTCTCCAGTCCAAAGCCAACACAGAACTTCCAGTGAGCACTGGATTGGCCATACCACATGTGCTGAACACCTACTCATGCAAAGCCACAGAGAACAGCTTTAGTAAAACCTGTTAACAGTGGCCACCACTGCATTCCATCAGGAGCCAAAAAACAACATTTAGAATGTGGTTTTGAAGTACATTACCTACCACTATCAAATGATACCTGAACAGTGAGCAAGTCTCAGGGCCAGCCACAGAAAGATTCCTTTTGCTTGTTCATTATCACTCACCCACAGTTTCAAAACATTTGCAATTTTCCATACTCTCCTCCCAGTCCTATCTCGAAGTCAAGTCCCTAGATATTTTTCTCTTCAGTCATGTGAGTACCTTTGAAAATCCAGTTCTCTGTGCATGTTGTAGCTCTAGACTTCTTTAGACTTAGGTTTGCTTCTCCTGAAAACGGTAGCAAAATGTCTCTCTGCAACCCAGCGCGACAAGCTACACATTTTTCGAGATCAGAGTTGGGTTTTAAAGTTGCTCTTACAAATAACGAACTACAAACAAGATAAATTTTTCTAAAGGCCTGTATGTTCAGATTGTCTGCTTCCTTCAGGAAAAAGTTACCCATTTCCTCTTTCCATCTGAAGTACATGTAGCAGCACGCAATTGAGGTAGAACATTTTGGAAACCACTTCCCTTCCATCTCCATGAAGAAGGATGCCAGGTAAAAAAGCTGAATTTGAATGAAATCTGGTAGTAACAGGGAACACCTTTTGGAGAGAAGCTAAATTGTATTCTTGACTTTCATATGAAAAGCACACACAGCAGTAATAAAAGCAATGCTCAAATGTAGTGATAAATACCACTAAAAATTTCCCACCACCTCTAAAAGTTAATTTTGGAAAAGTAAAAGATAAAAATCACAGATTAGCATATTAATGGTTCCAAATCTGTATTTACAAATCTCATAAGTCTGTTAATGGGCAATATTAAGTAGATAAGTAACGTTAATATAAATACAAAAAATATTAAATGCTAAAATTTAGCAGTCTGAAGCTGGGAGTGTGCATGCTGGACATCAAAAGGGACAAAGCTGTGCCTTTCAGGGATGGAAGCGTAAAGAACATGCAGCGTGACTGCCAGGAAGAAGAAAACGAGGAGTGTGACACGTACAAAGCAGTCGGTGTCCTTGGGTCCGGAGCAGCCTCCCGCGCACTCCCGGTGGCAGCAGTCGCTGACGTAGGGCCCATAGCACCGTCCATCACACTGCTCCGCACACACTGTCTTCGTTACTAGGGAGAGGCAGGAAAAATCACCTTGTCAGGTTCAGGGCTAAGCAGAGAGCTCTTTAACTGCACACTGAGGAAAACAACAAACCACATACTGGAAAACCCCTCAAGTTTTAAGATAACGGCTTTCGTGGTATTGGCCACTCGTATGTTCCAGGATACCCACACGATACCCTCTTTAGGAACTATATGTTGTTCCAGGACTGTGGAGAAAGTATTTTCAAAGTGTGTACTCTTATCCCTGGAAAGTCAGGGGGAATAGTATTTTCAAATCATTAGTTTTTGTAAAGAGGATACGAAAACCCCCTCACAAAACACAAGAGCCCAGTTCCACGTGAGTTTTCCCCACGAAGAATTGCAACACTGAGTAAATGAGTGAAATTCAGAGTGGGACCATCAATGTCAGAGCCAAATGCTGCTCTTAATGGCAATCAGTTTGACAAATGGTAACAGAACAGACAACAACCTTGGAACACATTTGGAAACACCACTTATCATTCTGTGTAACACAATCCTGTCTTCGTTCACAGGGAAACAACTATGCCTACCAACTGGATTGTAGTACCACACCATTGTACCTCAGGGCTTAGTCTTGTGCAAACAATGGTCTAGGAGTGAAGCATCCTCCTTCCCTTACTTAGCTATAGCTGCTATCTTAATTTACAAAAAATAAATTAATATTATCCAAATGACTATACCGACCACCACCACCTAGAGAATGCCAGGAAGCTGTGCTGTCAGCTGTCTTACGATAAAAGCTGAGATGTTACGCTTCTGTAATTAACTTTTAACATCTATTTTGTTAAAAGCATTTAATTACTTCTCTACAAAAACCACTTTACAGGAAGTAAGAGAATGCAAAATTCCATACAACTTTATGCTCAGTTCTACTATTTAATGTATTGGTAACTCCTTTATAAGTACTTTCCAATCCAAATTCCCTCCACTACTTGCCAGAAATACTTAAGGTAATGCCAAAGCTTCTTGCTGTGCACAATATTTATTTAGGACATAAAAATGTAAATAACCAAAAAGAAGTGATTTTTTATAATCTATAGAATAAAATTATGCACTATTAGAGGAATTCCATCTTCTTTCCTTTCTAAAAGAACCAAGAGCATCTCTCGCACGAGGGCTGGTCTGGAGGAACATGGTTCCCTTGCCAGCAAAATACTTGAGAAGGATGCCTTCAAAAAACATATTCTGCTTCTGATGAGGCACAGTTCAGTGAGGACCTCTACCATGCTGCTCAGGATAGGGAACACTGAATTTTCCTGAAGCAAAATTTACAATTACAGCAAAGGTCTGTCACTCTTCTCCTTAATTGTTTATTTTGCGGGGAAAAGAAACAATGCCAACAGAAATGCCAACATTTTATACTAGGAAGAGGCTACAACATATCATATTTATCTTCTGGTTCACTGCATGCCATATGTGCATTATAACTGCTATTGAGGGTCCAGGACTGAGGAGGACCTGTCAGGCATATCCTCAGTGGCACCACACATCATGACAGAAATGAGCTCAGTGGGCCCTGAATATTCTTAAGGACTCATATCTAAGACAGTCTGCAATGAAGGGCTTTTCCCAAAACAAAACAAATACAAGGCAATTCTATGTATAGTCTGAAGTCCTGAAACACTCTGATTGCTCAGATGTCAATAAACATCACTCACCAGTTCAGCTTCCTGCAATCATTGTCATGGGGTAACCCCACAGAAAATGTATGTAGCTGCACTGGTCTAAAAAGACAAGAAGCTTTTTTCCCCAGACACTTTCCTCCAAAGGCAATCAATTGATTTTTAAAGCTGTGACTTAAGACCTTTCCAAAAGGTCCTCATAGCTGAGGGCCCAGGTTTCAAATCAGACTTTATGAGGGTCACCAAAACTACCTGCCTGGATGCCTACTGACCCTGTGTGGGATCCCAAAGATTCAGAGGGTTCTGCACAGAACTGTGACAGGACAAACATTAAGGTCTTGAAAAAACATTCTATGTATTGGGAGAGGTTTCTGGAGGAGACTCAATCTCTACCAGTATTTCACTGCAATATAGCAGTAAGCTGTGCTGGGGTTGGAATGAGCAGCACCTTATATATGTGTGCAAATAATCAGTCTCCTTTATTGTTTCCCTTAATGTTTAATTACGTCAGGACACTATAAATCTATGAAGAAAAAAATGGGAAATAACTGAAATCAATGAAGTAGTGTTATGAACATGTAAAGTTATTAGAGAAATACAAGGGTTTTAATTAAAGATGCTGGCTTCAAGCAGCAATGTTGGGTTACCCTGATCGATCCAAGCTGCTGGTTCAGCTCTTTGTCTGCCCCACAAGACTTTCACTAACCTTTTGCTGCTCTAATTGGGCACTTACGGCATTGGCACCTTCTCCTCAGCAGCATCAACTGAACAAAGACTGTATAAATACAATTATGTTCAAACCAAACTTCTGTACACACAGAGAGTCATGGAGCACTTTGCATTTGCTGAATGTTTAATGTTTCAGGTTTTATTTACAGGCTATTTGTCTTTTTCCTCAGTTGGGTCTATATTTTAATTTAGATTTTTCTCTTTTGTTTCAGTTACATTCCTCTTGGACAAAGTGCATAATCTGTCATTTTAATAAAGTATTCAATTTGTAAAAGTTTCAATTTTCCACCTAAAACTCTTAGTAGACACCAACAGCAAAAATAGTAACAACATAACCACAGATTTTCAAATTTGATTAGTAACTTGTAAAAGCTTTTGTTATTATGATTTTTTTAAAGTTGTTGACATTCTACTCAGTGGGTGCCCAAAATTCTTTGAAAAACAGATTCTTATTCAAAGTATTTCCACATTATCCTTTCCTGATACTGAAACAAATAATATCATCTAGCTTTCAAATTCTCCATGCTAACATTTACTAATATTTTAATTATAAAAGCAAAACGGATTGTTAACTGTGTAAAACATTACCCTGAAATTCTATCTTCCTAACAGAACAGCTTAGTTTAAATTTCCTATTAGTTGTCTTCTTAAATACATGAATTTTCTCGTCACATTTAGAGAGGCACTAGGACGGAGTTAGACGCAGGTGGTGTTTCAGATAGAGCTAGAAACACAGAGACATTGCTAGAAGGCAACATAAGCACCTAGGTAGATGATATTCATGAAAAAACCAAAGGATTTTGATTTTTTTCCATATGTAATTTGAAATGAAAGACATGGATTAAGATCTTTCATTTTTTATCCTTTCCCAGGAAAACAATTTAAATCTTATCTTGGGACGGGGCTCATTAGAATACTTTGCCTCAGTGACTCAATAAAAAAAATGAAATTATTAAAATGCAGACACACCTCTGAGTTGTTTCTAGGAATGAAACAGTTTGACACTGGGATGCAATGCTGCTGAAGTGTTTTCCTACACACATTTGAAAGATGTGCATTCCCAAGGTGATGAGGTTAAGGTATACACTGTGTTTATGATACCATTCATCCTCTCTCCAGCTTGTATCTAACAACAACACTTAGGAGCTTGAAAGCCAGGCATGTCTTTTCAAGTCAGAAACAAAGGCAGTGAAAGCATAGCCCCACTTGTATTTTTATGTTTCGAGCCCCTACTCATATTCTCATTCTTTGCTTCACACAGTTTGCAGAAAAACACATCGTGAGCAAATACAAAGAAGAAATGTGCTTTGCCAGCCTTTCCCTTGAATCCTGCTGTTTGCCCAAGGTGCAGTGAGGTCATGGAGACAAAGAAGAAGTATATGATATAAAATTAACTCCTAACAATCACAGGCTGCAAAATGGGCTTGAAGGTAAAAGGCTGTAGAGTGGCTCTTTCAAGTAGAAATGTGTGACCTGCATATCTCCCTGAAACTCCAATGGCGTATGTCTTTCCGTAGTTTATTACTTTAAACCTATGTTGTGCCTTAGCCTGACCTCACTATTTGAATTTGAGAGGGTAGTCACTGTGAAAGGAGAGATAGCTGTCACTCCTGGAGCAAACCTTCCATGCAGCTCTACTAAGCTTCTGACTTCACAGCACTGCAGATAAGTTTTTCTCTCTTTGGTATTACTACATTAATCCATCAAATCAGTTCACTTATCTGAGAGCAGTGCTTTGTAGAGTCTGAGACTACAGTAGCTGATCCTGCCACATGGACTTCTACAGCTAAACAGTCAGACTTGCCATAAGCCAAGGCCTGAGCCAGGATCATAACTGTCAAGATTTAAACTATTCTTGGATAAGCTAACCACATAAGGCCTGAATAAATCTCCTTAAGTTTGGATGGATCACACAGCTTCTTACAAAGTTACTACTTTTAACAGACAAACAGGCCTCTCATTAAGATAGAGAAAAAACCCAGCAATTATTAATTCTAACCGTAATATAAAATAATTTGGTCAGCTAGGGTTTAAGTCCCTTTCTGTTCTCCACTTCAGCACATAGCCTTGCATGTACTTCAGCCTCCCACATGTAAGGAGGTTTTCTGAGCACTGACTTCTTTGGGGCTTTCATACAGACTGTAGCAAAGGAAGGAGACATCCTAGCTCAATTCAGACGAAGAAGAATCTCCTTAGCATTACTGTACCTCACTCGTTACACCATTATTCCTACAACCTGTCCTGAAGGTTTTTTAGTCACACCTGCAGATAAAGCACTGTATGAAAGTAATATACGAACACGTTAACTTTAGCAGAGCTGTAACTGTCATCAGCTTTGCCAGCAGCATCAGCTGATGCTCCTGAAGGAAAAGCAACACCAGGCAGGGTAGCAGGGCCTCTTTAGGAGTGCAGCCCTGTCACCTGTGCCCCTCGCGTTGCCACGGACAGGAGGGCAGCTTGGATTGTCTGCTCCTACTCACTCATAAAACATTCATGTCAAGCTGTTTGCCATTTGTAATTTGTAATTTCCTCCTATTTCTTGCTCCAAGTAGTCAAAAAAAAAAAAAAAAAAGCATAGCCACACTGTTCCTAATATGTCCCACAAAAGAGGCAGATGACATTGGGCCATCATCAGCTCAGAGTTAGTTAGTGTGCTCACTTGAGAGTGGTTAATTTGGCACAATCCCTTCCTCCTATCTACAACTCAGCCAAGGAAACAAGCACAAGCTGGAGCAGTGTTCTCTGGGGGAGCTACCAGCAATCATTTCATTTCCCAGGAAGAGTGACTCCAGTAAACACAACTGATTTTCACCCTCTTGTAAGGGGGAAAAAGGAAAAAAAATCTGTAGGAAAAGGCAGCTTTCAATTTTCTCCTCTTTAATATCTGCCAATATTGTGACTGCACTTCTACCTCTTTAGTGCCTATCTGAAGAAGCTGAAAGTACACAAGAAAGAAACTCTCTTTTTTTTAATTCATTTTAACGCTCTCTAAATTTAATAGGACAGACAGACATTGTGAACAATCCTTCACTTGTTACTTCCTTCACAAAAAAACTATTATTCTCTCTTTCAGTGCAACTCAAATACATTCTGAAGTTATTATAAAAAGAACAATTCTGCAAGATAACTACTATTCCCAAGCTCCCACTGAAATTAAGAGAGTATTTTGGTATCAGGAACTTTGCAGTGTCAGGTCGTCATTAAAGATCTCCAAATCTGCCTTGTAGTTTTTTCTATTCCTGCAGTATTCATTTCAGGGTATTCCAAATAACCATCAATATTCTCAAGAGGCATGCTCCATGTTGCCAATAAGAAGTGAAAAGAAAATTCAAGTTGGCTTAAGCAGTCTTAGAAAGTACAAGGGAGGAAACAAAGAAATAATTCACATGGGTAAAAAAAAAAAAGGCAGATTGTCTGTAGGCACAAACATATGGAAAAAAATCCTATATATTTTAGAGTTATACTAAACTCAGAATTTATAGTATCCTTTCACAACTGGAAAAAAAAAATTAGAATCTCTCCTACATCATTTTCTGACTCTTTTTTCTCAAGCTCACACACTTACAGGTCTGGCAGTGATTCTCTGTGGGTCCCCAGCATCGGCCTGTGCAGGACTTGTGGCAACGACCACCTGAAGAACAGACAGAAAGACAGAGATTAGAAATGTGGCTTCCTTTCATTCCTTTAACATCCAGCAACTGACAAAGAGGAGGGTTCATCTTGCCTTTGGAAGGTTTTTATATTTTCCCAAGGCTGAAACAGTGCCTGTAAAAAAGGGCCAGCTGAATAACCAGAACTGGTGTCAAACATATGTGAAATACAGCTACTTATCTAAGTGAATTATATTCTGAATACCTCTTTGCTATGCATAATGACTGGGACATTTTAAAACAAAACAAAAAAGAAAAGATGAGCAAGTCTGGAGGACTGAGGAACAATTTCATCACCCACTGTTGCTTTTTACAGCTTATGCGAGACCTGCTGATTCCTTCACAGGAGAAGAGATGGTTGTGCTAAAAAGGACATATAGCTATCTAGCTCCTGTCCAATGTCATCTGAACTATGGAGTGCTACGCTCAATGCCTTTGACTGAAAGCTACCCCTTTTCCCAAAAAGTTTGTATAGTCTGCATGTCCAATATTATGGTAAGGGAAATGTGCCCTATGTAACTTCTGAACCTGTGAGCTTAGCTCACAGGATTTATAGTTTTCTAGCTGCTGTTTCTTTAGTTGCCTGTGGTTGTGCTTGAACCTGAACATGATGCTCTGCATCATCTTTCCACATGCTGACAGGTTTAGTGCCTCAAGAAAAAGAACTGTGAGTGCTTCCACTGCAAAATACAGCTGGAGGAGGAAGAGTTAGCAATGGCAGGTTTCAGAAACTACCTAGTAATTACTGACTGATATCTGCTTGGACGGAAGAGGGAGCCGAGTTCACATCTCCACGTCATGGCAAATGGAAAGCAAACAGAAGAGCTGGCACATTCTCCTATGGCTGCATCTTACAGTGAATGAATGGAGATCTCATTCCACAGCTCCCATCTGAACATGGTCAGAGTTGTCATGCTCCTGCTCCTAGTGCTTCTCCCTCCTGAATGTCAAATGCTCCCAGAACACACACACAGAGCCTGCCTTACTGCACCCTGAGCCCCAGGTGTGGAAGGGCCTGAGGTGCAGACAGTTAAACCTTTACCCCAGCCAGACTTGAAGGGATGAGCCAAGAAACCCAACATAAACATTATTGAACACTATACACAGTCCTTAATGCTGCAGTTTTGACCAGATGAACCTAACCTTGTCTTTGAATAAACATTTATTCACCACAGAATACTGCTGAGATGCTATTATGTGAATTCCCACACGCCATGATGGGAGACAGCATTGGAGAAAGTGCAAAATGTCTCTCACCTAAGGTTTGATCACCTCAAAGGAAAACACTGCTCCTCTGCTAGCAGTGTGCTTATTCCTGTGAGATGTTATAGAGTCGAGCAAACCCACTGTAACAGTCCAGTGAAGTTGGACTTTCTGTCACTAATTTTCAAAGCCAGTGTTCCTCCCTCAGCATTCTTGGCGCTATTGATGATGCTTTATGATAATTACCACACTGTACGCCAACTACCTTGTTAAAGCTACCAGCTCCTTGTTGCATTCATGTTCATTTAAAGCAATTATACTTGGGAAACATTGTTGCTGACATCACCAGCACATAATTTGCTGTCACATTCTACCATCTGTTTATTTAGATCACAAATGTACTATAACTACATAATGCAAACTCATTCTGGCTGACAGGGAGGGCACTCCATCTGGCATGAATAATGCAACTTTAATCAGTAATAATGATTATTATGATTATTAAGAGACTACTGGAACCCTGCACAGAAAGCAAATACATCCACATTAATTTATAAGAATGAAAGTTTAAAAAGAAGGTGAGGTAAACAGCAAATTAAAGGAAGAATTTTAACAGATAAGGCTTGATAAGATACAGGTTGTTAGTTCATTTTGGTGCTTGCTCAACAGAATAGAAATGACCTCCAGGAAGTGGATTTTATAAACTAGCTATTCCTGATCAACAAGAATGGGACAGAGAAAAGGTACAGGCCTCACTCTCTGCTTGGTCTCCACCTGAGCCAGAGCACCCCTGCTGGGGACAGCTCGGGAGGAAACACCACCCACAGACAACAGAGTATCCTGTTGAAAGACCCTGTTTTATGCCTGATCCTTCCTTGCGATCCAGTCTCATGCCCATCTAGCTTCAGGGGTCTGGAGTTTAGGGAGAAAGCCAGAAGTCTTGCAGCTAGATACAGCATAAAGCACTGCACTGATCACTTGTAACCACACATTCCTGAGGCAGAGTAAGGCAGCAGTTTGGCTGCTTCTTCCCCTTTCTGTCCCTGGATTCCACTCCCTTCCAAAACTGGACTTTCCACTGTAATATGTGTTGTGGGATAACACAGAAGAAATTCAACATCCCTCTAAGTGATCCCTAACTAGAGAGTCTGCCCACACTTCTGTAAAAGCTACACTTAAAATACAAATCTTCATATTTGAAGCTCCTGGGTGCTGAGCTCATAATCGGTACACAACCAAAAATTTATTCAGCTACCTCTATCCCTCCTGGAAACAAAAGCAATTCAGCATCTTCAAAATATAATTTTAATTTTTTTTTTTAACTTGCATGCCTGCTGCCTGGTACATGACTTTGTTTGGCAGTGTCAGATGATGATTTGCATTTAAATAGAGATATTTAACAATAAAGCAAGAAAAGGCTGCCAGTTTCCCTTTTTCTCACTGGGAACTCAAAGTGTCTGTTTCATTGTTTTCACTTTTCTCAGCTGTACAGACACAATGAGGAGCTGAGCTTGTAGTCAGTACACCTCTGAATTCAATTGTTATGTGTCCTTTTGAAGGTCAAATATACTGAGAATTAAAAATAAAACCCAAACTCCCTCCAAATAATGTGACTGTATTGGTTTGGTTGTTTAAAAAAGAAAAATAACTTCCTTTGCTCTCAGTATGAACTGGTTCATATTCTGCTCTCACATCCCTCAGTATTCCACCTGGTTTTCCCACTGTAATAAGGACAGATTGCTACCCATTAAAATCAGCTCTGCAAATCTAAGACAGAAATAGTCCCATGGAAGTCAACATAAGCAGTCAGGAGCATAACGAGCATTTGTGTGAGGAGCAGGTCTCACAATTAGATTTGTATGTCAGGCTTAAACGATAATAAATGTATAGGCCCTAAGGTTGACAAGGCCCTTGAAGGAATTATACTACTTCTCACAGATATTCCTGCATGTATTTCTTTAGATTCTGAGATCGTAGTGAGCCAACAGAATTGAGATAAAATAATCATGAAACCATTTGTGGCATAAAATAAATTATTCCTGTTATTCCTTGTGTCTAAAATATTTTAAACCCCTCTAACAGATTATGCTGGGTTGGAAGGGACTCACAAGGATCATCAAGTCCAACTCTTAGCCCTGCACAGGACCAGCCCTCATGCCTTGTGCCTGAGAATATCATCCAAATGCTTCTTGAACTCTGTCAGGCTTGGTGCTCTGACCACTTCCCTGATCTGATGCAGGATCTGCTGCTCAAGCTGGATCCCTACAAATCTATGGGGCCTGATGGGATTCATCAATCCTCAAAGAGCTGCTTCATCACAAAAGCTCTCACTATGATTTTTGAGCAGTCTTGGGAATCCAGAGAGGTCCCAACTGACTGGAAGCTGGCAAACATTGGTCTGATTTTCAAGGGCAAGAAGGAGGACCCTGGAAACTACAGGTCTGTCAGTCTGACCTCAGTGCCTGGTAAAGTTATGGAGAAGATTATTCTGAGAGGTATTGAAAAACACCTGAAAGACAACACAGTCATCAGTCACAGCCAGCAAGGCTTCATGAGAGGAAAGTCCTGCTTATCAAACCTAATTTCCTTCTCTGACAAGGTAACCCACCTAGCTGATCACAGGAAGCCAGTTGATGTAATCCTTTTGAGATTTCAGTAAAGTTTTCAATAGTGACTCTCAAGGGATCCTTCTGCCCAAAAAGTCCAACCCAGAGCTGGATAAACATATCATGTGGTGGGTGAGCAATTGGCTCACAGGTCGAGCACAGAGGGTAATAGTGACTGGGGTGACATCAGACTGGCCACCTGTCACTATGGGGTTCTGCAGGGCTCCACCTTGGGCCCTGTGCTCTTCAACATCTCACAAATGACTTGGACGCAGGACTGGAAGGGACACTGAGCAAGTTTGCAGATGACACAAAACTGGGAGGAGCTGTTGACTCCCTCGAAGGCAGGGAGGCCCTGCAGGGAGACCTCAACAAATTAGAGGGCTGGGCAATCACCAACCATGGGAAGTTCAACAAGGGGAAGGGCCGGATTCTGCACCTGGGATGAGGCAATCCCAGATGTATGGACAGACTGGGGAATGAGATACTGGAAAGCAATGCCAAGGAAAGGGACCTGGGGGTCCTGGTCAATGGCCAGTTGGCCCTGAGTCAGCAGTGCCCTGGCAGCCAGGAGGGCCAACCATGTCCTGGGGGGCATCAGGCAAAGCATCGCCAGCCGGTCGAGGGAGGGGATTGTCCTGCTCTGCTTTGACCTGGGGCAGCCTCACCTGGAATATTGTGGCACTTTTGGGCCCTGAAATATAAAAAAGATATTCAGCTATTAGAGAGCATCCAAAGGAGGAAAACAAAGATGGTGATGGACCTTGAGGGGAAGCCGTGTGAGGAGCGGCTGAGGGCACTTGGTCTGTTCAGCCTGGAGAAGAGGAGACTGAGGGGAGACCTCACTGCAGTTATAACTTCCTCATGAGGGGAAGAGGAGGGGCAGGCACTGATCTCTGCTCTGTGGTGACCAGTACAGAACCCGAGGGAATGGCCTGAAGTTGTGTCAGGGGAGGTTTAGGTTGGATATTCAAAAGAAGTTCTTCCCCCAGAGGGTGGTTGGGCACTGAACAGGCTCCCCAGGGCAGTGGTCACAGCACCAAGTCTGACAGAGTTCAAGAAGCATTTGGATGACACTCTCAGGCACATGGTGTGACTCTCGGGGCTGGTCCTGTGCATGGCTAAGAGTTGGACTTGATGAGCCTTGGGGGTCCCTTCTAACCCAGTATATT